TAAAAAAATTTAACTCTTCTGATTTTGAACTACCTTTTAAACCTTAGTTGAGTCTCTAAATAAAAGTGTTCTACATGCAAATCTACATCTATAGTTAAAATTTTGTAATTTTAGCAAATAATAATAAAGAAATTTGCATTATTAAAAAAAGTTTGTGAATTGTTAAGTTTATGAGCCTAATATAAGACTCGCGAGCCTACTATGAGGCTCGAGCAAGCCGAGCCTAAGACTTTTGAGCTCAGCTCGACCTGAGCTTTATGAGACTCAGCTCGGCTTGACCTATGAGGGACTTTAGTTGTAATCTTTAATTTGGTAAATTCAGATCGATCCTATAATCCGAATCAATCCTATAATCTGAATTAGTTATTTTTAAAAAGGATTTATCCAAAATAAAAATGAATTAAGGATGCAGATCATCCAGATTATAATTTGGATCATAAATCTAAATTATATATATATACACGTAATACACATGACAACAATTTACATTTAAAATAATTTTTTTTATAAAATATTTTATTTATTTATTTAATTGGTGGATCTTATGCAATATCAAGATCTAAATTATTATTATAAATTTATTATTATAAAATTTCTTCTCTAAAATATTATGGAGATAATTTGTTCTTCTTCTTTTATGATAGAAATAATATATTGAACAGGTTCTTCTCTTGTTCATGATATAGGGTAGATTATAAGTTGAATTATTAAAGGTCCCACAATAATTAATGGATGATTTCAGTGATGTGACAATGTGACGATGTGACGATGTGGCAATGTGACGATGTAGGAAGTGAAGTAAATGGAATAGACAGTATAAGTGATGTAAATCGTGGAAGTATTGATAATATTTGTTGTCTTCTTTATCTCTATTATTCTTGTTGTTCCTCGTAGTTCCTTATATATTCTAATTCTAATCTTTGCTTCTCTTGTTTTTCGCGAATGTGATGATTATGATATTCTTATTCTGTTTAGTTGGCTTCTTCTTGTAATCAGCAGACTAGAGCTAACTCTTCTTGGTGTCCTGAATATTCTTGTCTCTGTTGTGTGAGTTGGGTGGTTGTTTTCACTTCATTAAGAGTTCCAGATTAAATCTTCTTTTGGGATATCTCTTAAAGTTCTCCTAAGTAAATTGACTATGATTTCGGATGTGTTCATGACTTCCTCTTGAGTTTCTACTTGTCCGAGAAGTGGGTTTTCCTCATCTTGTTTATTATTATTTTCAAATATACATATCACCCAAATTCCAAATTAATATGGCATTATAGTTACCAAAATATGTCAAAATTATTTGAGATCCAAGGATCAAAATATCCCAAATCCCAAATTATTTTTGGCATCCCAAATTATTTTTAACATCTTAAATTATTTTTGACATTCCAAATTATTTTTTGACATCCCAAATTATTTTTGATATCCCAAATTATTTTTGGCATCCCAAATTATTTTTGATATCCCAAATTATTTTTGACATCCCAAATTATTTTTGACATTCTAAATTATTTTTGGTTTTCAAAATATTTGGAATATAAAAAATTATTTGAGAGAAAAAAAAAAAAACTATTTTAATTGGGGCAACATGACATCAGGAAATTTTAGGAGACAAAAATCTCTAGAAATTTTTCAGAATAGTAAATTTCTGGAAATTTTCATAAAAATTTCCAGAAATCTTTTATAAGTTTTCGAATATTTTCAAAATAAAAAATTTCTGAAAAATTTTTATGTAAATTTTCTGGAATTTTTTTATTGCAGATATTTTCGAAAAATTTTTACGGAATTTTTCAAAATATTTTACAAAGCATTAAGAAATTTTAGGAAACAAAAATTCCTGAAATTTTTTACAAGTTTTCAAATATTTTTTTATTACTGATATTTTCAAAAATTTATTGTAGAATTTTTTAAAATATGTTATAAAATTTGTAAATTTATTTTACATATAACTTATTTTTTTAACATATTATAGAAATTTATATATAAATATGTAATTTATAAATTTTGATATATGCGAATATATCTGAATAAATTCATATGCAAATATATGCGGATATATATAAAAATATCCAGATAAATTTGTGTGAATATATTCGGATAAATTCACATATCAGGTAAATTCACATAAATTCGTAATATATCCGAATTATACATGTTCCCAAAATTGATTTTGAATTTTTGGGATATTTCGACTTTTTGAAATTTATGCAGAATCTATTCTATATATAAAAGTAAAAAAAGTACCCAGTTATGTGTATATTCAATTAAGGAATAAATCTGGATGATCAAAAAATTTTAGGTTTTAAGTAAAATAATTTCGAAAAACTATTTCAACTTTTTTTCTTGAAATTGTAATTTCGGGACCTCAAAATAATTTTGCGTGCAAGTATAATTCAGATATATGCAAATATATTTGAATAAATTCGTAAATATATCTGAATATATATAAATATATCCAGATATATGTGAATATTTAATGTGGATAAATACGTGAGTGGTCAAATATATTCAAATTAATTTAAGGCAAATATATTCAGATATATTTGTTATTAAAAATTTTCTAATAAATGATGATAGCAAAAATGATTATAATAGTAATGTTTGTAAAAATAATGATAATTATAATAAAAATAATAATAATTTAATTAATAATAACTGTAATAATAATAACTTTAAACAAAAATTGAAGCTTTTAAAATTAATTCTAATGAAAAATAAAAAAATACAAACTATATATGATTATTTTTATCATCGTATTGTATATTTATATTTTGATTATTGGAAAAAAGATAGTTTAGAAAAAACTGATACAAGTATAAAATCAGTGAGAGGAATATATAACAAGGTTTTTGGTGTGTAACTAAAATTTGAGAATAGAAAATTTTTGGTTATAAAATGACATGTTACCTATTTTATTACAAAGATATTATCAAAAAATTAAATCATTAATTGATAATGAGAATGTTATCAATATAAGTTTGGAATATATACATATATGAAAATAAAGGAAAAATTATATTCAAAAAATATTAAATATTTATTCAAACTAAATTAATTATTCAAATAGGTTTTAGTATATCATAAAAATTTATTTCAATTAATACAGTAGATATTTAGTTATAAAAACTTGAATTTAAATCTCAATCTAAAAAAAAAGATATTTATTTTGATGGTGTTACAGAATGAAATTATCATGATAAAAAGAGTATAGTATGTAATATTAAAAACATCTGTAAATAATTAATAATAACTTTTAAAAATAGTAGTGTTTATAATTTAGTTAATAGTTTTTTAATTAATATTTATATTCAGTAACACATATTAATTAATCACGGAATAGTAGTACAAGATCACATGTTCAAGTGATATTTAGTTATACAAACATAATTATCAATTCATAACATTAATTATTATCACATACCATTATTTAGTAATTGCTATTAATATCTATTATCAATTAGTATTAAATATATTTAGTAAATAATATAAAGAAATAGTAACCAATAGGAATAGTGCACAGTAAGGCACAGTAATGAAGGTCATTAGATTTAAGTATAAAAAGGAACTGAAAACATCTTGCCCCTTTCTAGTTTACAATTTTATAATTTTTGAATTTTGATAATTTGTAACTTATTTGAAATTGATAAATTTAATTTTATAATTTGTAATTCTAAAATAAATACTTGTAAAATTACCTTGCAATTGAATTAATAAATAATAAATATTGGAAATATTAAATAAAAGTTATATTAAATGATAAAATATGTAATTAACAAAGGAATAATGAATATTATGGAATTAAATACTTAGTTGTATAATTGTATAATATTATTATTCTTGAGTTAATAAAATTAATTACAAACTATTATTATAAATCCTGGACTTGAAATAATATTTAATCTAAATAAATAGAAGTAATATTCAATAATGATAAAATTGAAAAACAACTAATGGAATAATATTAACACTAAATGTAATAATGAACTTGAAAAGATATTGGAATAAATTGAATAAAAGATCTGATTCTCTTTCTAAAATAACTGAATCAGTGGTGCCTTCTAAAATAATGAATCAACAGTCTTACCTTTGGAAAAGAACTATAAACTCCTTAAAAGAACTGTTAAATTACTTTACTAGTTTAATCTCAAGGGAACCAGGAACCACCAGTGACAATGGTCACAAAAGGCAAGATGTTATAGATTACAGAGAAGAATTTCTTAAAAGATTTCTTTAAATAGAATAAATAACATTTTATTATTTTTATATATATTCCCAATTTTATTTTATATATTTTTTATATGTAATTCACCTGACTTCAAATGTTAATAGCTTTGTCAAAAATAAATTTATAAAATTTAAACCAATAATTCTGAAAGAGCCAGTCAATATCTATTATAATTATTGGATAAAATTTCTATTTAAGTCTGTGTCACATGCCTTAGTCTTTTAAAGTTGGTTTTATTTTAGTGTTAAAATTTTTGGTTATAGACTGGACGCACTGTAGCAATATTAATATGTAGATTAATTAAATTATTATTTAATAAATTATTTTTATTTTCATTTGTGTAATCTCGTGTTCTTTATGCTATTATGTTATCAAATTACGGGACGGAAATCCTCACGTGCCATCAATTTTCACATTAACTTGTAAAAGTATAATGTTCTACGCTACGCTCCGGACAATAAGACCAAACTTAATTATACAGAAATGATATTTACTAATAATATAAAATATATAAAAATATTATATAAAATACCATATGATTGTAAATCAGGTTTTAATTGAACTCAGAAATAAAATGTTTTTATACTTTAACTTGTTCAATAAGTTGTTTTTCTTTCATTTTACCTTTACACAAAACGTGTTTCTGGTGAATTCAATGTCACGTGACAATAGTTATCGCGTTCGTTCGTTCATTTTAAAAAAAGAATGAATGAATAAATAAAAATAGCATAAATTAAATATTTAATGATAATTTTTGATTATGATATAAGATTACATGAATATTATTAGTAGTAAATGATGAAATGTGAAAGACTAATTAACTAGAATAATTAGAAATGAAATGATTAAACTAAATATTATTTTTAATTATATAAGTATTTTTTGTTTGAATGAAGAATAATACAACAGAAATAATAAATGTAATTTAAAAAATTAGAATATTATGAAATTTATTATTTGTCATGAAATATCGTTGTGATAATATAATTATTAAATGCGTATTTTATTTTTCTTCAGAAGGTTTAACTTCTTCAACTTCTTCAGTGACAGCAGTAGCAGTAGTAGTAGTAGTAGTAGTAATAACTGTAGTTTCTACAACTCCTCCTTCAACTTTTTTTTCTGTTTTTTCTTCAACTACCTCAACTACTGCTTCAACTGGTTTTTCTTCACCTGATTTTCCTTCAACTGTGGTTTCAACTGTTTTTTCTTCAACTATTGCCTCGGCTGTTTCTTCAACTGTTTTTTCAGCTGTTGCTTCGACTGTTGATTCAACTGTTTCCTCGACCGTTTTTTCAACTGTATTTCCAACTTTCTTTTCTTCTGTTTCTGTGACAACTGTTGTATCAGCGACAGTTGTAGCTGCAACATCTGCAGCGCCAACTACTTCTTCTAACATAGATTCACCAGTTGATGTTGGAACTTTAAGTTCATTGATTTTTATACATCTATCCTCCTCTGGTTCTGGAAGTGCTTTTTTGTATTCCTCAAGTACTTTAATCCATTCTTTTCGCTCTTCCACGGATGTTGCAAGGAATTTATGAGTTTTTGATTTTGTTTCAATCTCAAATAAGGGCTTCATACCCTCAATTTCTTTAATATGGGTATCCTTTTTAATTTCAATTGATTTGCAATCTGATGTGGATTTTTCGCTGGGATAATAATTTAGTTTCCCTTCTTTAGTGAATACTAAATATATCTGTGTAAATTGCGGTATTAATCCACGACGTTTTTGTAAGCGTCCATGTTTGATAGAGTCGGGTATTTCTTTTAATATAACATTTTCGGATTCCCCAGGTATATCATCTGCGTCCGTTGCTTCGACAGCTGATTCAACTGTTAATTCTTTTGTTGTTACTTCAACCTTTTCAGTTGTTTTTATATCATCAGTTTGTGATGGCTGTCTCTTACTCATTCTATTACGTTGGGAATTAAGCATACTATTAATTTAATGTATGATTAATAATTATTAACACATCAAAATGTCAAAAACATACCTCTTGAAGAATTGTTGTTTCTTTTCTTCCGGTTTCTTTTCTTCTGGTTTCTTTTCTTCTGGTTTCTTTTCTTCCGGTTTCTTTTCTTCTGTTTTCTTTTCTTCTGTTTCTACTGTTAATTCTGTGATTTCTTCTTTTACTTCTGTCACTTTATCTGTTGTTGATTCTTCAACTTTGGGAGCTGTACTGTCATCAACTTTTTCTTCAGTTGTTGAATCTTCACTTGTCTCTCGATTAATAATTTCCTTTCTTTTGAATACTTGAGTAATTCTACGCATTACTTTATTACCACCACTCTTTTTCGTTGTACTGGAGTGACCTTCAGGTTCTTCAATCTTTACCTCCTTAACTTCCTCCTTTACATCTTTTTCCTCCTTAACTTCTTCCTTTACTACTTCAACTTGGGTTTCTTCTACCGTTTCTACTTTAGTATCAGCTTTTTCTTTACCTTTGGAAAAGAATCCCAAAAAACCATGGGATTTTGAATGAGTATTCTCATCTGTTTCTTTAGTTTCTCTAGTTTCAGTTTCAACTGTTTCGTTGGTTACATCGGGAGTTTCAGTTTTGGTAACAGTATCTGTCACATCTTCAGTCTTCTCAGTCTCTGAAAAAAAAAAATTCAAGTTAATATCAAATAATAAAATTCAAATATTTTAAAAAATAAATATATATATAAATTTATTACTTGAAAACTTACTTTCTTCGGCTTTAGTTTCAGTGGGACTAATGGGGGTTTCATCTTTTGATTTTGTTCTGAAAAATTTAAATAAACCACCAGTGGTAGTGGTAGTGGTAGTAGTGGTGGTGGTAGTGGCGATTTCAGTAGTGTTGTCAGTAACTGTTTCGGTCACATTTTCAATTTGTTCAGAAGAAACTTCGGTGGTAGCTTGTTCATCGGTAGGTGTTTTCTCTTCTCTAGACTTTATAATATTAAAAACGCTAAACATTCCCTTTTTCTTTTCTTCACCTTTTTCTTCTTGTTTTACTTCTGGTTTTACTTCTGGTTTTACTTCTTTGTCTTTTGGCACCTCTTCGATCTTGTCTGCTTGGGTAGAAGTTTCTGCAGCAGTACTAGTATCAGCATCGGAAGTTTCATTAGTTTCTTTAATTTCTTTAGTTTCTTCAGGTTTTATTTCATCGCCTGTCTTGACCTCAGCTTTTTCGGTGGTCTTTTTAAATATATTTATGTTAACATTAAATAGTTTCCCTTTTTTATGGTGCTCCTCTTCATGTTTTGTATCTTCTGCAGACCTTGTTGTTGTTGTTTCTTCAGTGGTAGCTGTTGTATCAGCATTTTCACCAGTTTCGGTGATTTCGGTAATAGCCGTGGTATTAGTTAAGGGAGTAGTTTCAGTTTTCTTATTAAAAAACCAGTATTTACGGCCATGAACACGTTTCGTCTCATCTTCTTCGCCAGAAGTACAATTTTCAGAATCAGAAGCTACTGATTCCTTTTCAATACGACCGACAACTATTTAAATAAAAAAGAAATAAAAAAAAATCAGTTAGAATAAATTAATTAAATAATAATAATAATATATAAATAATATATATAGAATATAACAAATAATCATGCACACGAAATAATAGTAAAAGATTATTTACCAACTTGATTAAAAACAGCTTGATAACCTTCATCTTCAACAATAGGATTATTCTTTGCTTCTTCGGCTTTTTCTTTGATGGTATTTATCCATCGTTCTTTGGTCAATTCATTTTCGGCATGTAATTCGTATTCACGATGTTCAGTTATTATTTTGAAGCAATTATCTTTTCCTCCAATACTAGTGAGAGATATAACATCTTTAACATCTTTTAAGTTAATAATGCCGTGAGGTTCTTTAAGATGTTCTTTAGATTTAGATCTGAAATAATATAAAAGGCCTTTCCCCGTTTTGGTAGCGTGAGCACAGTTTGTAGCAAGAACATGTTTAGGACTTGGAGAACCATTCTCTGTTTTTTCAATTACGGTAGTGGTTAAAGTAGTAGTTGTTGTTGTTGTTGTTGTCGCAGAAGTAGGAGGAGCAGAAGCAGAGGTAGTTGCTTCAGGTTCAGGTTCAGGTTCAGGTTCAGTCGTAATAGTTTCTTCTTTGACTTCTTTGACTTCTTTGATATCAGGTTGAGAAGTCTCAACAGTATTATTAACAACCTTTGAGGCAACGTGAGGAGTTTTTCCCAAATTCTTCTTATAATATAGACGAAGGTTTTCCAAAGTGTATATGTCTTTTTCATCACCAATAACAAAATAACGTTTTTTCCAATTTCTCATAAAACTTCCTGGAGGAGCACGTTTTTCCAACATACCCTTAAGAATTAAGTCATTTGCAGTAGGTTTAGCTGTTTCAGTGGGTTCAACCGGTGGTACTTCATCTTTATCTTTAGAAGGAACGGGGGGAGCTTGAGTCGTTTTGTCGTCAGTCGTTTCTGTATTTTTCTTTTCGAGCTCAATAGGGGATGTAGTTGTAACTTCTTTTTCAGCAGTGTCAGTGGTCATTATTAAATATTAATAATATTAAAATTAAATAGTTTTTAAATAACGGTTGAAATTTGAAGAAAAAAAAAATTTAAGAAAGAAGGATGAAATTTTATTTTTGGGAAAAGAATAAGAAATTAAATAGATTAATAGTAAATTAGATAATTTATAAATAATTCAATTATGATTTAATTAAGTATTAAAAAGTCCACTTTTGGCAGGAAAAAAAAAAAAAAAAAACAGGCTTTCTAAAATTTTTTTTTTTGGGAAAAAAATTTATTAAAAAAAAAAAAGAAGGGTGTGATGAAAGTAATAGAGAAAAGAAAAGTTGGAGAAGTGAAGGGAAACTCAACGAGGTTATAACAGGAGCAATTCCAAAAATAACCAACTAAATAAAGGGGTTAAATGGTCATTAAGGTAGTACGATTAAAATCAAAGCAAAATTTTTATAAATTTTTGTGACAAAAAAAAAATCGAATCAGAAAACTCAAGTTTTGATAAGCGTACAGCATTCAGAAAAAACCTTTCGAAGTTGTGTTGATTACTGTTGTGTGATGAATATTTATTATTTTATATTAATTAAATTTAAATTAAATTAATTAAAAAGAATTAATTAAGAGCTTTGGAAAAATAATAAAGAGTTGTAACAACACAACGGCAAAAAATAAAGAGAATAAATATAAATTAAAAAACTAAAAAAAGCACTTAGTATATATTATAGTTTTTACACATATAGAAGTATTGTACATCATTTTCAAAAAAAAATCCAAAAAAGTCCAAAAAAAGAAAACTAATAATCGGAAGAACGCACATGACGGAATTTACATTCTTGATATCTATTTTTATATTGTTTATAAATGGAGTATGAAAGTAAAATGACATAAACAATAAGGATAATAATATGTAAGAAATTAATATTTTTTTATTGGTGATCTTTTTTTAAGGTATAACAAAGGTGGAGTTGTGAATTATGAGTTATTAAAATTACATCATTTATAACTATGACTTATTATCAGATGATGTTGTCGGATGAAAATGTCGGGGATGCAATATTTGTAATAATGTCCAGTTAAATTAATTAATTCGAATAAAATGAACCTCGTGACACCGAATGAATTTAAGTTAATTAAGTTAATTAATTATTCATATACACAACATAAAAATAAAATTATAAAAATTAGTGTGACGGTGCGTGGAAAATGAATATCCAATATTTAGTTGGCTCGTTCTCTCACAATGAAATTTTGATTTCTTTTAAAAAAAGCTTCAGGCTAATTTTTCTTTCTTTTTTCAGTTGGTTCACTCTTTTTTTTTCCATCTTTTTTTTTTTTTTTTTTTTTTCATTTGTCTTTATTGGGTTTGAAAGTGTGGCTTTACCAACCAACAGAAAGCACAGACGCAATAATTTTACGATAATTCATGTGAATAAAAAACTTTGCCATATATAGCGAGGTAGATTTTTTTTTTCAACTAACAAATAAATAAATATCCCTTTATAGAAGCTGGTTTATATCAACTTTGCAGAAAAATCGTCGTGTTCGAGTTTAACCAATTAATTAGGTTCCCTCCAAATTAAAAATAGAAAAAATATATAACTATAGTTTCATATTAAAGTCACGTTGAAAGTATTTTTGTTTTATTAAATTACTGATTGTTGTTATTACTACTCGTTATTTGTTTTTTGTTGTTTGTCAATTTAAGGAATTTAATATAAATAATTTATTCCAAATAACAGAAATTTATGAATACAATCAAAGAATACTAAACTTAGTTGGTAGAGCGCATACATCGAGAAAAAAAAAATAAACTTTTCTAAAACTTGATTATTTTTTAAAGTTTTGAAGTTAGACATAAATAATTAAGATAAAATAATAAAACAAATATATATAAAGATAAAATATTAAAATAAAGATCTAAATAAATAATAATTCAGGTAAAAATAACTGGTTCATCAACTTCTTTTTTTTTTTTATTTTGCACAGATTATTTCCACATTTATTCGATGTATTAAAATGTACTGAATGTACCAACCGCGTGTTAACAAATATAAAGAATATATTTATTGAGTCTTATTCCGATTAAAGCATTGGCGAATTCAAAATAAATAAAAAAAAATTTTTTTTTTTTTTCAAGTCAAACACCACATTTATTATTTTATTATTTAGCTAGTTGTTTATTTTAATATGATCACTATATTTGGAAATTTTTAAATCATCTATATTCTATAAAAGTATTACAATAGAATTTCCCAAAAAAAGAATAATATTATTAATTGTTTAATTAATTAATAAAGAATCCTGATACAATAATTCTTTAATTCTTCGTATTATTATATTATATTATTATTTGTTATTATATTTTTTATTATTGTTATATTATAATAATAATAATAATAATAGTAATAATATTAATAATAATAGTAATAATAATAAAATAATAATAATAATAAAAATATTATTATTATAAGATGGCGTTAAACATTGGGCAAAAAGTTTTACGCCATCTTTCTCTTTAATAACAATAACAACCACATTGACCATAAAGTTAATTAGTGTAAACAGATCATTTGCATTTTTTTTTTTTTTTATAAAGGAACAATAAAGAACAATAAAGAAACCAAAAAAAGAAACTCGGTGCGCAATGTTATGGCAACCTAAATATAGTATTAATTTTCATTTCTGCATATTTATTTCCTCGTCATTTCCATTATGCTTATATCTATATGATATAGTTTAATTAGTCAAAAAATTGACGGTATCTACAATTTATTATATGCTACTGTAAACTAAGTAATAAACATTATATTACGTAATTTGCACTATGGATTATCTTATATAATTCTATATGCGATATAATATATATACACTGCTATCAGTATTTAGTTTCATTCTTCGATTACTACATATGATTTTGTCAATTAATCCACAAAAATCTATATTGTTTCCATTATCAATGAAAAAATTTATGCATTCAGAATAAAAAAAATAATATATATATATATAAAATATAAAAATACGCCATTGGAGAATATGATCTGCCTGTAGGTCTGTAAATCCTTTTCAAACAACAACAAAAAACGCCTTAAAAAATAATTTAAAATATAAGTTTGTAAATCGTAGATCTTCGTGGTCACTATTTTCCCCACATTATCTTCTTTAATATCTTCTTTAAATTCAATCAGCCAAACCTGTTTGTTTTGATACCTCCCAACTTATTTTGTCTTATTTTATCTTACTTTATCTTTACTTCATCCTAAATTGTTAGAAATTTATACTTATATGGTTTTATTATGCCATTATTATGCCATTATTATGCCTTATGGGTTACAACTGTTACAACTTCTCTTCACATAGGGTGATAATTTGTGTCCTCTTTTCCACTTTGATACATTGATTGCTTTTGATGCTTTAGGTGCTTTAGTGGGGTTTTCCCACACACGCTTATCACACGAAGTCAGGAATTTCTTTTTCCGTCTAGAGATAGAATTAATGAATGAAATTCAACGTGCGTGCGTATAAGTGTGTATTTGGGTGATCCTTGCATAATTGTTATAATTGTTTTAATTGTTATTAAAATTATATAAATTATTTATTACTCTGCTCTGCTTAACCCTGCTTCTCTGCTTTACTTCTAGTTAATGGTTATCAAATGACCCAATGCATTGTTCCCCACGCCGCCATACCTTAATACATTTACTGATAATCCTCCAAATTGCTTTAAGAAAAAAATTTTTTTCTTAAGATATACCAGATGTACATACAGTATATTTCCACTTATATTTGTTCTTAATTGATATATTGGTATTGTTACATAATAGATAAATAAAGCTATAATTAAGCCCATTAACACGTAAATATGTAGTGAAGCTCACGCAATACGCCAATCTGATCAAGCTGATAAAGCAAAAAGCAATGGCCACAATGGAGTTCACATAAACAGACCACATATCACCTGATTAGATTCTTTTAAATGCGCAAATATATCTCGGGTACTGATGGGTTTAACTATATTTAACTATATTGAGATTTAACTATATTTAACTGTATATTTTATCATAATTATGTAAACGTCATTGCAATCAGTATTTATCTTTTTAAAAATAAATAATTATGTATTAATGATATAATAATAATAATTTAATGAAATGTCAAAAAAATTAAAAAATTTGGAATATTCTGGAATTAAATGTTATAACTTATTCTTTCTGATATACCCGTAAAACAATGTAAAAAATCTTATGATAACATGATAAGATTTTAAATGTCAATTGTGTAATCAACTAACTATTTACAAATATGTCAAATTTTTAAAAAAAACAAATATGGAAAAATGCATTATACAAAAATTTATAAAAAATCAAAGAATATTATTGTAAATAATTATTTTATTTATTTTAACTTTAATTAATCGTGATTTTTTTTTTTATTGAATTAATAATTTTTACAATAAATTTTATTATAATTTTTTATAAGAATTTTTACAATAGTTTTATTATAAATTTTATAATAATTTTTTTTTAATTTTAATTACCTTGCTGATGGATATCATTTATATACAGTATTTATAATTTATATAAATATTATTTTAATTATTTTATATATTATTTCATATATTATTTTATATATTTTATATATGGCTTTAACGCTTAATATGTAGTCATGTGATAAGAAATACTAAAAGCATTGATGTTTGTTATTTTCTTCTTTAAATAAATAAAGTTTTTAATTATCATAATAAGAACTATACAATTTGTCCTAAAGCAATAATGTCATTTACTATTTATTTTTACAGTTTTCTCTAACATGGGAAAATAATTAACCGCGCCACTTAGTCATGCGTCTGGTTAATTTAACAGAAAAGAAAAAAAAAAATTTATCAAATATCAAACATGACGCAATATTCATTCGATCTTAGATCAACTTTAAAAAACAAATTCAAAGTGGGATCAAAAGGAATTGATTGAAATGATTATCTTATCAATGATTTTCATTCGGTTTCAATTTTGAACCGTACAAGATTTCAAACATCCCCGTATTTTTTTCTATTATATTTATTATCTTTGGTGATTGATCCTTTTTTAATATAACATTTTACCCCACAATTCCCTTTTTAAGAAATGTAAAACTTTTTGCAGAACTATTTCCTTTTATGATTTTTATTTTAATAAATAACGAATTATATTTTATGTAAATATAATAAATCAAAAAAAAAAAAAAAAAAAACTATACAATTTATAATAAATATTAGAAAACGACATATATTTATAAAAACCTATTTATGTGTATTATTTATACAAAAAGAAGAAAATGCACAACACTCACTATCTTGGCAATAACGATTGAATATTCTATACATAAAGGGAAAAAGGGAAAAATTAACGCGAATTCGAGTGAAAAAAAAAGTGAAAAAGAATATCGTATTTTTTTTAGCGTATTTTTTCTGTAATTTTTTCTTTAATTTTTTTTTTTTAATGTACTTTTTTCTATAATTTTTTTTTTTTTTGATGTTTATCTACCGGTAGAAATTTTTGTCATATTATAGTTAATTTTTTTTTTTAATATTGAAAATAAATCTTGGGTTTAAATATCACTCCTTTTCGATTATTAATTTTTTTTAAAAAAAAACGGTGAAATGGTTGTATATATATATAAGAGAGGGTAAATAAAAAAAATGAATTTACAATTTCGATCGTCGACGAAACTTCAAATGTATATTTGTTTTTTTCGATAACGACGAAAGAATTACTTAAAAAAATAATTTTCATAAATGAATCGATCAAAATAGATCGATCTAAAAATGCCGAGAAAAAAAATCCACAAATCTAACTTAAAAGAGTTATTATCCGACTTGTTTAAACAAGGTAATTTGGTTTAATCATTCTAATAGTCCCTAAATATAAAGTTTTTTTTTTTTTTTTTTTTTTCACTCGAATACATTAAAACGTAAATTTCAAATTCAAGATTATGGTGTTGTGCAAAAATAAAAACATAACGAAAGGAAAAAACAATGCTGGGAGGGGGGTAGGGGGGAATTTGTACAAAAGAGATTATTTTTACGTAAGATTAATTATTTCCTACGTAAATATGCTTTTCTTTGAAAGTGCTTGCGGCCCTTTCTAGCTGAGGATTCGTGATCTGTAATATTAAAATGAATCAAATCGTAATTGTTAAAACATTAAATATGATATAATTTAATAAATATCAATTAATTAATTAATGATAAATCTTCATACCACCACCATCAGTCCCTTCATAGGAAAATATGTCGAGGTCGTGATTATTAATTTTTAATAATCCGGGGAGGTGGCGGCGTCGGGCATTTATAAACCAGTTCGAAATCTGCTGTAGGCTTAACTTCGTATCCCTAGCCAGTGATATTTTTTCATCTTCTGTGGGGTACGGATGTTTTTTGTGCTGTATCAACCAGCTTTTTAATAATGCTGTGGTAGTCTTCGGCAGATTTCCGCGCCTCCTTTTAGGTTTTGTTGAAATTAATGGAGAAGATTCCTGGCTATAAATAGCTTTATTGAGGGATTGATCTTCTAAAAAAAATAAAGGAAGAAAACGTTTATATAAATCAAAAGATGAAATTGATAAAAAATTAATATTTCATAAAATCAATAATTACCCCGTATACTTTGCCAGTATAAAGAATTGTAAGCTAGCATCTCATCGATCCGCTTTTTAGTCGTTTGAATTTCAATTAAATTTTCATCATTATTTTGTTCATGAAACTCGTGAAAAATTATGAATGGGGTAAATGTTCTGACCTATTTACCGTAAAGAAAATAAAAATTCAACGATTGGTTGGTTGATCATTTATATCATTCAAGCACTATTCAAGATATTTATTATTTATTTAATACAGACGCGAATCAAATATAAATAAAAGTCGAAATTGAAAAAAATATTTACCCCGGCGCAATTTAGATTTGGTTCCATTTTTTTTTAATAAATTTAAGGGTAAAAAGAAAGAAATGGTATGGTAATGTGGTGAAGAGAAGTTGTTGATTGACAAGTAATAGAATTAATTTTCTGAATGGAGTGTCAAAACTTGTCTTTGTTCGTTAAAGAATTTTAGGAGTGAGAGAAAGGTTTAATTGAAAAATGGAGGTGGATAATAATGGATATAATCCCTCGTCCAGGTGAATGGGAGAACACTAAAACGGCACTAAAAAGCGGTTAAAAATGCCTTCCGTTCGTGTTCGACGGTTTTGGGATGCAATTTATTATTTAAATTTTTTTGATGTTTACTAGAACGAGGAAAAGAAAAAAAAAGGATGAGATTGTGTGTGGAGATAAATATGTAAAATTTAGTATAAGTATTAAAAAAAAAAAATTTTTTTTATAGTACTTAAAGTAATGCATTTTTTTTTTTTTCGTAAAGAAAAATGCGAACACAACAGCATACTTTTCGTCCAGTAAACTCTGCATGATTCATTTATATTATACAATATAAAGTTTATTTTTCAAAATATAATAAAATTAATGATAATCTCATTACAATCATTTATAATCATTATAATGTACATTGTAAATATACAATAAAAAATACTATAGAAAACAATGTCTAAAAATAAAATAATGTAAATGAGTTGAATGAATCCAGTTAAAATATAAATGAGTTAGATAAAGTATATATATATTTTTTTTTTCTCAACGATATTACATAAAAAATGTTGCATTCAATTGTGAATGTCCAAGCTCTCTCTGGGGTCAAACGCTTGTAATCAGATCTTATCCTATTTTCAGTTCTTACACAATAGTATAAATATATATATATATATATATATATATTTTTGCAGAGCTAAAACATTACTAGAACAGTTTGGAACATTATTTATGCATTATATTTTATTTTCACCTAAAATATATTGAAGGACAAAGAATTAAAAAAAAAAAAGTAAAATAAAATATATTTTTTTTTCAATTGTTAGACTAATTGAGATATATCAAAATAAAAATAAAATAAATAAATAAATAAATAAATAAAAAATAAAATAAGATAAAAAAAATGGGAATCATTGTTTTCCCATAGAAATGCTTATATAATATCTATTCATATTTTTTACTAAAATAGTTATGCCATTCTTTTTACTATATTGATAAATTTTTATTAATATTAAATTATCTTTAATTTTGCCAAATTTAAATTTTACTAAACTAATTATCAAAGAGAATAAAAAGTTATATTTTACCTATCAAAAATCTGTCATTTAATTTAAATCTATACACTAGTTCACATTTTCTTGGTAATATATATAATATATAAATCTATACATTGAGATTTGGGATTAGAAAAGTCAATGATTCATAATTCAATTTTTTATAAACAATATCATTTTTCTTTTTTTTTTTTTTTTTAACTTTGACCAATAAATATATATATTATATTTTTCTTAATATTCTTAAAAAACTTACTTAAAATATTGAGAATATATCATAAATATTATTAATATTATTATAAATATTTTTAAATAATAAATTTGATCGTAGAATAATAGAATGGAAAATAAATAAATCAAAATAAATTGATGATGACTAAATGCACAGAGCACAATTTAATTGTGCACAATAAACAAAATAAGTAATCAATTGTACCTTATTTAAAAATTTTTTTTTTTAACTTTTCAGCTATTTTTGATTCAAAATGGCAGACAAAAAATGCACAATTTACATTATTGACGTAGGACCCACCATGTGGCAAAAGCAACGCAAGTTTGGAGGTACTGGTTTAGACTTGGCCAAGAAAGCCGTTTTAACCATGCTTGAAGCAAAGGTAATTATTTCCCGTACGCGTAATATGAAACATAGTTATTAAAGTTATTGCAGTTTATTATAATTATTGTAATTATTACAATTATTATTACAATTATTATTACAATTATTATTACAATTATTATTATTATTACAATTATTATTATTATTATTACAATTATTATTACGTATTCTTGTGGTGGTCTATTCAGGTTATTGCAGGTTTAAAATCTGACGTAACAAGTTTGATTATTGTTGGATCTGACGGTAAACTCTTTTAACTTATTTGACTTATAAGTTTTAGTGACCAAAGTTTAATCCTAAACCCCACATCCTAATATAGAAACTAAGAATTATATGAACGATGAATCGGGTGGTTATGAAAATATATCGGTACTTTATCCCATCGAACAACCAAAATTACCTATTCTTCGAACGATCGATGAACTTTCTCAAGGAAATTTTCACGCTGACGGTAAAAGATTTATTTTTAAAGATGAATGATATAAAATTATTATTATTATTATTATTATTATTATTATTATTATTATCCTTATTAATTATAATTGGAAATTATAATTATTTTTTAAATATTTTTAGTCTTTGATGCACTTATACTCGCGTTGGGAATGATCACTGCACATTGCCGAAACTTAAAATATAAAAAAAACATTTATCTTTTAACTGATGGAGAATCGGATATAAATAAAGCAGATTTTAATACAGTAGTTCAACAAATAAATTCTTCAAATATTGAATTAAATATCTTGTGGGTATATATATTTTATTTTATTTATTATAATCAATTATATCAAATATATCGTTAAAAGATTAATCCTTACGCGTTAATTCTAGGGGAGTGGACTTTAATGATGAAGAATTAGGTTTTGTTGAGGAAAATAAATCAAAAATAAAGGTTTTTTTTTAACTTTAATACCTTTAAATGTGGTTAAATGTTGGATTTTATTAAATTTATATATTACAAAAATTTCAATTTCTTAGGAAGAGAATGAAAAATTTTTTCATGATCTTACTAAATCTTGTCAACAAGCCACAGTCTTTTCAATGGAAGAAACTTTAAGGCAACTTTCAAAACCTTATATAAGACCTGTTCGTCCAACACCAGTTTATAAAGGAACGTTAACTCTTGGTGATGCTGAAAATAATCCTCAAACATTCCTTATGATCAGCATTGAAATGTATAATCGAACAACAAAAGCAAAACCTACAAATACAAAAAAATATTCTTCCGTAGCTGAGGCTTCTGCCAATAATGATAAAAAAACGTTTGAAGTGAACATTTCTAAATCTTTTTATGTATCCAACCTTAATAATGAAGCAGTTGAAGTTCCATTAGATGAATTAAATAAGGCTTATTTATTGGGAAAGACTTATGTACCTGTTGATGAGTTAAATGAAGGAATCTTTAATTTATCTACAAAAGATTCCATGCAAATTATTTGTTTTTTGAAAGCTAGTGAAGTAAGTAAACTTTTTAATTAAATTATTTTTGATTTATTTTTGAAATGTTTTCCTGAATAAAAATTTTTTTTAGATCAATCTTTATATAATTTTATTTTATTTCCAAAATAGTTTCCACGAAAATATTTCATGTCAAATGTAGCTGCAATTTTGCCTCAAAAAGGTAGTTCAATTATGGCTCAACGACTTTCTGCACTTATTCATGGTTTATTCGAAAAAGATTCTTATGCAATGGTTCGATATGTGCGTAAAAGCAATGATGCACCAAAACTTGGAATATTGATTCCTTACATTAGTGCTCAAAAAGAATGTTTATATTTCACTCGGGTAAAGTTATTTATTTATTTTTTTTTTGATATTATCGTTTTTTTTAAGATAAAATTCTTAAATAAGCATATATATATTCATTGAATTAAAAAAAGATCGCATTTAAAGAAGATTATCGCAAACTTACATTTCCACCATTGGATCGTGTCATTAGTAAATGTGGTAACAATTTGACGAATCATCCTTACTTACCGACTGACGAAATGTTGGATAAAATGGGTAAATTCATTGAAAATATGGACATTAAATCCATTAAATACCAGAAAGATAGGTATGTTGTTATTTCTAATTAATTAATTGATTGATATTTATTACATAGACCGGTCGTCATTTTGATTTTTTTTTTTTGTTATGTAGTGATCCGAAAGAACATTTGAAAGTGAAAGAATGCTTTAACCCAACCATTCATATGACAAAGAAGGTGATTTGTCATCGAGCGCTTCATCCTGATCAACCTATTCCCCCACCTGATCCTGAGATGATAGCCCAAACAAAATTGTTACCTCAGTTGATTGAAAAAAATAAAGAATTGGTGAATGAATTACGAGAAATTTTGAAGATCAAGCAAGGTAAATATAACTTTTAAAATGATAATTGGATTTTATAATTTAATCAATTTAATCAATTTAATCAATCAATTTTTTTCAATTCGTCCACTATTATATAGTCATTAAAGAGAAGGGTAAAGCCAGTAAACGGAAATTTGCAGATGCAAATCGACCTACTGCTCAAATACTTAGTCTGGATGAACTTTTGAGTACGGAACCTCAAGAAAATGGGAAAAGGCCCAGACCAGACAATGATATTATATCGGATACACTTTCTACAATTTCTCAATCAGAAATTGTTCGAGAAGTTGGTACCGTTGATCCAGTTAAGAATTTCAAAATAATGATTTCGAATCACTCTAAAGATATGATTACAACTGGTAAATCTTCGAAATAACGTTAGAAATCTTTATTAATATTGATATAAGTTATTAATATATTTTATTTTTTCATTCATTTAATTTTTTTTTTCGCATTTTTAGCGGTAGAACAAATGTCACAAGTTATTTTACATTTTGTCAAAACATCATTCGGTGAAGGATTATATAAAAAAGCTATAGAATGTATGGTCGTTTTACGTCAAACATGTGCGCAGGTAAATTTATAAATTAAATATTTTTGTATTAATTTTGAATTGAATTAAAATTAATTTTGATTTCTGATCTATTTTTTCTACTTTTAGGAAGACGAATCTACCAGGTTTAATGATTTTCTTAAGGGTTTGAAAAGCCTGTGCTTTGATTCTCAACCACCTAAAATTAATTTTTGGGAAATGGTTGTTAAAGAAAGAATAACATTAATTAGCTCAGAAGAAGCTAATAGCGCAACTTCATCACAAGAAGCAGAAGAATTCCTTCAGGAAGCACCAGATAAGAAAACAAATATTTCTATAATGAATGAAGATGAAGTAGCTACTGATGATCTGGTAAGAAGAAAATTTTTACAATTTTTTCATTTTATTAGATCTTCAATTACTAATTAATAATCAACATTTTTAATTATGTATACAGTTTGACTTGATGGATGATTAATTGAATCAATATTATCAATTTGACTTGTAAATAATTAGATTATATTACAGATAATCTTCATTGTTAATAGCATTTTATTTTTTGCTTAATGTTAAATGTATTCAAAAAGCTATTTCAATATATATTTTAATTTGTATATAGCTTTACATTAGTTCAATGAATTATAAAGAATATGCTAAAATATCAAAAAAAAAAAAATAAAAGTTATAAATGAAAAACAAAAATAAAATAAAATAATTAATTGGATTGTGGATTGAATAAAAAAAACAATTAAAAATATTAAAAAAATTGATTTTTATTATTTAATTATTTTAAATCTTATTGTGAAAGATAAGTAATATTAGATAAAATGTAAATTATATAGAGTTGGTATTATCATCAATATTTCCCTTTACTTAAAATGTTGTATTCATTTTTGTTTCTCTAATCTTTTCTTTAATTCAGTTATCATTTCATCTCGCTTAACAGAGGTACCACCACCTTCGCCTTGTTCTTTAGATCTCATATCTTTGATTCTAACCACGCCACGATTCAATTCATCCCGTCCAATAATAACTGCAAAAGGAATTTGATCACGATCACACACCGAAAATTGGGCTTGTAATTTTGGTTTATTTTTATACATGAACTCGGCCTATAAAAAAAAAAATTTTTTTTAAAAAAATTATAGGTTATATTGAATATTTCAAAATTTACCAAACCATTTAAAGATTTTTTTATTATTAATTAAATGAATTAAACAAACCTTTATACCGGCATTCCATAATTCTGAACATATCTTCATTCGATCTTCCAATAATCCATCAGCGACTGCTATCACGTACACTTCAACTTCATTTGCTTTAACACGGTCAAGTTCAATTTTTTGCAATAAGATAGATAAAACTCTTTCTACGCCAATAGAAGCTCCTACACAAGGTATATTACCTTTCTTGTTACTGGCAAACATACCAACAAGATTATCATAACGACCACCTGCAGCAATTGATCCAACTCCAACTGTTGATTCGTAATCAAAATCTTTGGAATTTTGATTAACTTGCGTACCATCTAGCTCTAAAAAAAATAAAAAATTGATTTAAAAGGTAAACAAATAATAATAATATTAATAGGTTTAGAAATAATTTCAATAAATAAATTCTGTTATTCCTTACTAGGAGGCCTCGATTGTTCTGTAACAGCTTCATAAATAACTCCAGTATAATAATCTAATCCCCTGGCAAGACTAAGATCAAATAATATCTTTTTTTTTTTTTTTTTTTTAAAAGAAAAAATTTTATTCAAAGATAAAAAAAAATATTAATTTTTAATAATAACTTAATCTCTAAATTATTTTTAAAATAAATAATTTTCTTTTGATAAAATTACCTTGTCTAGCACACCGAATATTTCCAAATAATTGAAAAGAAGAGCCATGTCATCCAAACCAGATTTAGCATTTTTATTGGCAGTTAACTCTTGCATTTGAAGAAGTTGTTCTAATAGTTCTCTACCACCTGCACATGGATTTAATTTAGTATCTATTTTTTAATAAATGCAAAGAAATATTATATATATATACCTTTTAATTTTACATATTCTCCTATACGGTCGGCAATATCAGGATTCAAATTTTTCTCTTCAGTCATTTCTCTTTTAACTTCCTCCCATGGTAACTAACAAAATTAATTTATGATAATAAATATGAGATGATAAATGATTATTATTCAATATATATATATATATATATATTTATGATAATTACCTTGTCTAATTTATCTACAGCAGAAGAGATGGGCCTAATTTTTTCATCGGGAACACCACATATTTGAAATATTCCATCAAGAATTTTACGATGATTTATCTAAAAAATTTTTAATGTAATTCATATTTTTTTTTTTTTTTTAAAAAAAAAACCATATTATGTAATAATAATATAATAATAATAACAATAAAAATCCAAAATTATTGTCTTACCTTAACTGTATATTTACCAATTTCAAGTGCATCTAAACATTCACACATAATCTTCACTACCTCAGAATCTGCGATCATAGGATCAAAGACTCCAGCAACGTCAAAATCCTATGAAGAATATGAAGAATAATGATTTCAACTTTTTTCACAAGTAAATAAAAAATAAACATTTATAAACCTATTACATACGCATTGATAGAATTCTCGTAGGCGACCTTTTGTCATAGCAGGCTGATCCCTTCGATAAACTTTTGCAATTTGATACCTTTTAATATTTTGATATTGAGTCCCATTAATGGCCAAAAATCTTGCAAAAGGTACCTTAAATAAAAATATAAATCACGAAACAAAGAAATCATGAAAAACAAGAGAAATCATGAAATAAAGAAATCATGATTATTTATCGTAATTCTTTAAAAAATATTAAAAAAAGAATTACTCACAGTTAAATCGTAACGCAGCGAACATTTTTCGCCACCTTGATCCTCCAAATCATAAATAAGTTTACTATCTTCACCATATTTACCGGCAAGTATTTCCTTCAATTCGAAAACTGGTGTATCAATTGTTACTGCACCATGTTTCTTAAAAACTGAAATGATGGTTGAAAAAACATTTTCACGAACTGCCATTTCCTTTTCATTATAATCGCGCGTACCCTATCAATTATAAATATAAATTTTTAGAATTGTAAAAAACAAAAAAAAAAATTTCAAAGGTAATTGTGAGAAACCCTTGGAAATTTCCGGAATCTTTCAAATTAAAAAAAGGAAAAAAATTTTACCTTCGGCGTTTTCAGGGTAAATTTATTCTTTCCTTTAACAGTACTTTCTTCACCAGTAAGAGAGGCTTGCTTTTTTTGTAAATTTTGCAATTCTAAAAGGGCCGCAACCTCTGTAGCTACCAAATTTGGGTCAGCATTTTGAGCCTTTAACGTTCTAACCTTTTCCCCTTGAATCTTAATTTTAGCCTTTAGTGATTCTTTAGTTTCTTCCATTTTTTATAATCAAGGGCATGGTTTGATAGTTAAAAGATATTTATGTATAGGCTATGTATAGTAAAGCCATGACCCTGACACACAATATAATGAATATGGCGCAGCTTATCATGTGATATAGATTTATAAGCATGTGGTTTGTTTGAGACAATTTATTTCCATTTAAATCATTTACACTTCCTTTGGCAGAATTTTTGGTATTTTTAACTGTTCTTTTCCACTTCATACCTTTTGGTTCTAACAAAATTTCAGTTTATCCAACTAATTTTTTTTCTTCTTATACACTTATTTTAGCCATCCCGAATTTAGCCGCCTTCTTTTCTTCCTTTTTTTATTAGATTACTTCAACAATGGATAAAATTGACATGAGTCTTGACGACATCATCAAGATCAATAAAAAGAAGCCGAAGCAAGGAAGTAAGGCCTCAAACATTCCCAACGGTAATTTTAATAACAATAAGAGTAAAACAGGACCAATTCGGGCGAGATCTGCTGGAAAAAATTTGACTCGACAAAAAGCCAACCCATATCCGGTAAGAATCCAAACAGCTTCATAAGGAAACACTGGGAAATACTAGTAGATCGCTTTTTTTTTTTGGTCGACAAATGGTTAGAACCATTATTGCTGTTCTCCCAGAAGAAAACGGCCAAACAGTTTTGTTGAGATCTTTACGTACTTCCCCGAAGTTTTCACGTATGCAAGATTGATCAAACCCAACTGCGGCTGTTTTGACACTCTGCCCTCCTTCCACCCATTCAGAAACCAAAAATTTCAAAACCAGGCAATCCTAACGGCGTTTGGCGTCACGATCTTTTTCCCACTCTTTTCTCTGGTGGAAATACAAAGCGTCCCGGTCACCAAAATAATAACGGTAGTCCTTCCATCCAACATCGTTTGGGTACTGGAAAATCTCCTTTAAGTAGTGGAGTCGCTAGTAGATTATCTATTAAAGGTGTTGCTGGTAAGAAACAAGCTGAATTCTCCTTTAAAGGTGAAGGTGGCCCCGCAACCATTATTATCAATAACCTTGCACATGGCACGAGTGCTAATGACATTAAGGTAAATCAATATATAATATATATATATATATATATATTTATTTATTTATTTATTATTTTTTTTTATAGTCATTTTATTTACTTTACAATTTTAAAATTTTTTAGACTGCCTTTATGGAATTTGGTGAAATTTCGACAGTAGATTTGAAAGATTCAAGGGGTACACCCCCAAGTGCTGAATTGACATTTGAGAGTAAAGCATCTGCTCTTTCTGCAATAAACAAATATAATACAGCTCTTGTTGATGGTATTTAATTTTAATTCGAAGTTAAATAATCTAATATATTTATTTTCATTACTCTGTGACACTGGAATTAATTTTTTTTTTGTTTTAGGCCGAGTGCTTAAAGTTCAATTGAAATCACCTGGGAGTAACATAAATACCGGTTCAGCTTCTTATCGATTGAGAAACAAATCGAACAGGCCACAAAATTCAAGTGCAACTACACAGTAAGTACGATTAAATATTAACAGATTGTTGTTGTCATTAATTTATTTCAAAATAAATTTTTCATTTTTTATTCTAATAAAATTTTATTAGGAATGGAAAACTTTATTCGGATAAACTGTTTTCTGGTATTCCAAATGGTAATAATAATAATAATAATAATAATAATAATAGTAGACGTTATGGTGGCAAGGGAAAACCTTTTTTCAATGGTTCATTTTAAAATCTTTCTTTAACTTTATATAATCTTTGGACAACATAATTTCGTTACCGATTATTTTGATTTAAACGATTAATGAGAAAAAAAAAATTTTTATAAAAAAAAAAAAAAAGAATAACTGGTTTGTGATTGGGTTTCTTTCCTTTTTTTTTTTTTTTAAAACATTTACTTTTTTCCTTTTCACGTATAATATTTTATATATTTTTATATGAAATTTCTTTTATGTAATTATCATACATGATTATTTGTTTTTTGCGTAATAGGTATTTTAGAATAAAGCCAAATCGCAAAAAGAAAGAATGATTTCTTCGATTCATAAAGTAATTCATTAATTTTTTTAACCTTGTAACCCAAAAGGTTTAAAACCAAAAACTTACACTAAAACTGACAGACAATGATCGAACGTAATGCCACCAACCAGGCTATTTAAATAATAAAATGTTTTATCAGTAAATAAATAAAGAAAGTTCAACCTATCAATTTTTAAAATTTGGGATGTAACTCACAGGAATATATAACAAATCTCCGGATTCCAGAATACATTCCTTAAATTGTGCAGTTGCAAATAATGGAAATTTTTCGAGGTTCGGATTTTCGATTTCCACCTTGAAAAATTTGAATAGAAATAATAATAGAAATTTGAATAGATAATAGAAATTCACTTAATTAAAATTCAAAAAGAAAGAACATTTAAGTAATGTAAATTAAATATAAACCTGACTAGTATTACTCATGAAATCTCCTTCGAAAGGATATAATTTAGAAGTTTCTATGGGTGAATATAATCTAACATATTTTTGACCAACTACTTGTGCTAATAAGTTATGATAAGGATCAGTATGCATAGGAGAGATAGTACCTTTTGGACCAAACCATGCATTCATTATAACATCTTGTAAAGGATTATATTTTATAATATCATTATTATTAAGTTTTATAATAAAAGGTTTTGTATCCACAAAACAATAATCGGGAATTATGATATCATCTCGAAGACGTGGAATTTGAGAGAATAAATCATGTTGAGCCAAATAAGCACATTCATCATCATCATCATCATCATTTGAATTTAGAATCCATTTTTCAACAAATTCACCAAATTCCATTATCTTTTGAGTCCAATTTTCATCTGTATATTTGAAACCAATTTCTATTGGAACTAATCTTTCTTTTCCAATATTTAAAAGATAATCAATATTATTCCATGATCTTGTTGAAAGTGCTGGCCAATGATCTATACTAGAGGTTATTATATAAGGGGTTGGATTTGATGAAGTTACATGAGAAGCAAAAGTAGTTAAACTAGGTCTTGATATTTTTGGTAATGAATGATTTATAATTGGTGCATCATAATTTGAATCATTTAAATCATTAAAGTTTGATTTTATACATTTGATTTGATTAAATTCTTTAAATTCTTTTAATATCTTTTTCGTTTCTTCTATAAGTTGAAAAATCATATCTCTCCTATGATTACCTGGTGCTCCGGTCATTACCAGAGCTGTATCCAAAATTTTTATAATCTCTTTCCATGAATCTTTACTATTTATTCTTTTTTCTTTTCTATTATCAATCATTAAATAAATTTGACATAAACTTTTTAATAAACTAGAATCAGTATATAATCTTAACCAAGAAAGTGGAACATTTTTGTAAGGAAATGTATGAAGTTTTTCTCCTGCATAATCAACAAGAGAAGATACTTTCACTAAAATTAAGGAGATTTTATCTTGAGATATTTTTGATATTTCTGAAGTATCCTTTAAACATTTAAAGAGTAGATAGATAGATGATCTATCACAACCAAAAATATCTATAATAAAATTAAGGATTAATGATTATAATAATAGAGATAAAAATTTTTTTGTTTGATAGTTACCATCTTTTACGTTCGTTTTATTAATAAATGTTTCAAGTATTTCCGTAATAATAGAATTACAAACTTGTGAAATTGAATATTCATTATATTCATTCATAAAATTTATTACGATTGTTATTATTATGTTATGTTGTATTATCACAATCGTTAAAAAATTTTGTGACAGGCCACGTGCAGGAGATCCAAGAGATCGAGCACGCATAAATCTTGAATTAAGTATAGAAAACAATATATGGAATTTTAATTATAGTAAACCGCGTCCAAATCAGCCCAACTAAACATAATCAGCTCAAACCGTCAATTGTCGGAAAATGACAAATATGGTTTTCAGAGAAATCCATCTTATCATTCAAAAAAAAAAAAAAAAAAATATGAAATTTAGATATAGATATAGAGAAATTAGAGAAATTAGATCCAAATTATCAATAAAGTAAATTGAGAGAGTATTCAATAAAGTATTCAATAATAATAAAGTATTAGTTATTAGTTGAATGATTAAAATTCTTAATTTCTTTAAAACATTATTATTTATAAAATGTTTATAACTTGTATTAAATCTTGACTAAATCTTGACTAGATCTCCCATTATAATGTGGCTTTGAACTTGCCATATGAATTTATAGAATTTAAAGGATCCGATCGATCAAATACTAAAAATGGTACTAAACGAAAAAAAAATAAATAATTTAAATTATTAAAATAAATTAAAAAATAATTATTCTGCATGTCAGATACTACTACTAATTTATATTATTTATATTAGGATGTGAAATCATCGAAATTTGCGTAACCGACTTGCACGTTTTTGTTTCGTGCTTGAATGCTCAATGTACATTATTCTGCACGCAGAATGTCTGGTACTTCAAATAATAACTCATATCTAGTTGACCCGTTCGACGACCAGGCAAACGAAAATTTTCAGGATATTAATATTAACCAGTCGATCTCATTGCAAAGTCTGCAGGCAGCCGTTACACCACAAACTTTTAGACCAGCGTATCTTCCTTCCGGAAACCGGAATCGACGGTTGTCTTTACCTTATTCCCAACTTGACCCATATCACGACGACTTTATAGACGACGACGAAGAGCAAGATCAATTTTACTCCGATTCTATAGGGCTCATGCGTCAAGTTTCTAACATGTCAAATAATTCTGAAGCAAATCTTCCACTCACTTCAAATGCTGCTTATAGTAGTACTTCACCAAGACCATCAATGGGCCACAGTGAAATTCTAATGAGTAATATTAAAACTGAAACCTCAATGGAGGTTGGAACTTCACCAAATATTGAAGAAGAAGGAAGATATATATACATAAATAAACCTCAACAAAACCTTCAACAAAAATTCTTACATAATAGAATTTCTACCGCCAAATATAATTTTTTAACATTTCTCCCAAAATTTCTATACGAGCAATTTTCGAAATATGCAAATTTATTCTTCTTATTTACAGGTAATTGTAATTTCTATTTATTTATTGATTTTTTTTTTTGATTCACTTTTATAGATTTTAAATAAATATGTTGTTTTTTTATATTTAATTTATATTAATTTCTTTTTTTATTTATTTATTTTCAAATTAGCTTGTATACAGGTAAAATTATTAAATAATATTTTAATATTTCATTATAAATATGATAAATATAATTAAAAGATTTTATATTTAATTGGTAAAATTTATAAAATTTATATATGAAGAATTTATAAAATATATTTATTTTCTGTATATAAATATTTTCTACACAATAAATATTTTCCTATATTGTAATATATGTGAACCAGAATTACTGTTGTCAATATGTGTTATTATGGTCTGTTTGTAAGGAAAACCGTAACAACAACAAGTAATTCTAGAACATTATTGTTTTTAATACCAAAAAAAAAAAAAAAGAAAAAAACTAAAAATTATAAATCACACTTATTTATAGCAAATTAAAGACGTGTCACCTACAAACAAATATACAACACTTGGTACTTTGGTTGTTGTGTTGGCAGCAACAGCTTTCAAAGAAATTATGGAAGATTATGTAAGTTAAAAAAAAAATAATAATAATAATTAATTAATAATTAATTAATTTAAAATAATCAGTTTTTGATTCACAAATTAAAAATTATTTTTTCATAATTTTTTTTTTCAATAATTAAGAAACGACATAATTCAGACTCCGAAGTTAATAAACGAATTTGTAAAAGTCTTAAAGGAAAAACATTTGAAGGAAAGGAATGGAACGAAGTAAAAGTGGGAGATATTATTCGTGTCGAAGGGGGAGAATTTTTCCCCGCTGATCTAATATTACTCAGTAGTTCAGAACCTGAAGGATTATGTTACATAGAGACAAGCAATTTAGACGGGTTGGTTTTCTGCAATGATCAAATTATCATAATATATATTCATAATATTTATTATAATACTTATAACATTATCAATTTTATATATATATATTTTTTAACATTTAGTGAAACAAATTTAAAGATTAAGCAAGCCCCCACCGAAACAGCTGGTTTAGTTTCTCCAGCTCAAATTGCTAGTTTAGGAGGTGATTTTTTTATATTATATTATATATTATTATTATTATTTAAATTATCAAATTATCATTAAATTTCAAAATTCTTTATTTTTTATTTTTTTTTTTTTATATAAATATTTCATATTATTCATATTCTTGAATAGGTCACATAAAATCTGAAAAACCCAACAATAGTTTATATACATTTGATGGAGTACTTGTAATGAATACAGCTGATGGTCCTAAACAAGTTCCACTAGATCCAATGCAAATATTACTTAGGGTGATTTTCTTGTTATCTTTTTTTTTTTAAAATTTATTATTAACTAATTCATAAAATAACATTAATTCCAAAAAATTTTTTTTTTCTATAAATAGGGTGCACAAATGAGAAACACTCGATGGATTTATGGAATTGTTATATTTACTGGTCATGAGACGAAGTTAATGAGAAATGCCAGGTAAATGGTTATTTTCTGTTTAAATTTGTTAAATTTGTTAAATTTGTTAAATTTTTTAAATTTTATTTTAATTTTTTAAATTTTATTTTAATTTTTCGGTTTAGCGCAACTCCAATTAAAAGGACTAGTGTAGAAAAAATGGTCAATGTACAAATCATCTTTTTGTTTTGTATTTTGTTGACTATGAGTCTTGCTTGTTCTCTAGGAAGTTTAATTACAAGTGTAAGTTTTTTTTAACATGTTAAATGAATTTTTCTTCTTATCAAGATGAATTTAAAATTTATCTTTTATGAAATAGATAAAATTCGGTGATAAATTATCGTATCTACACCTCCTTGCTACTTCAAGTCTTCCCAGTCAATTTGGTTTCAATATTTTAACATATTTAATTTTATTTAATAATTTAATTCCTATAAGGTAAAATTCAGTAAATTCAGTATTATATTTTCACAAAAAGAAATTCCTCATTTTACTAATAAAATTTTCCATTAAATAATAGTTTGATTGTTACAATGGAAGTCGTCAAATTTCAGCAAGCCGCACTAATTAATTCTGATCTAGATATGTATTATGAAAAGACTGATACTCCTGCTTTATGTAGAACTAGTAGTTTAGTTGAAGAATTGGGACAGGTTTTTATATAAATTATTATTATATATTATTAGTGTTTTCAATAATTGTCTATCGATATACATATATAGAGATATATATATATATATTCATTTCTTTTTCTATAATAGATTGAATATATTTTCTCTGACAAAACCGGCACACTCACTTGTAACGAAATGGAATTTCGACAATGTTCTATTGCTGGATTAGCGTATGCAGATCATGTCGAAGAAGCAAAAAAAGCTCAAGTCGTTGATGGCGTTGAAGCTGGAATTCATGATTTTAAACAATTGAAAACCAATTTAAAAAATCATCCTACTGGGAATGTAATCAACGAATTTTTGACTCTTTTAGCTGTTTGTCATACCGTTATTCCAGAACAAAAAGATGAAAATCCTGACAGTGTGTTTATTTATTATTTTATCATTTATTATTATTTTATTTTATTTATTTTATTTAAAATTAATTATGTTCCAATTTTTTTTTTTTTATTAATTAATTAATTATTTATTCCCCATTTTAGATGTTATTTATCAAGCTTCTTCACCGGACGAAGGAGCTCTTGTAAAAGGTGCTCTAGTTCTCGATTTTGTCTTTACGGTAATTTCTATTGATTCATTATGTAATTATAATTTATTTAATTTATTATATTTTAATTTTCTAATCTATATAATTTATATTTCAAAAGACTCGTCGTCCAAAATCTGTTAATATACGTGTTAACGGTACTGATCTCGAATACGAAATTCTCAACATTTGTGAATTCAATAGTACACGTAAACGTATGTCCACTGTTGTCCGTTCTCCAGATGGAAAGATTAAATTGTATTGTAAAGGTGCCGATACAGTCATTTTAGAACGTTTAAGTGAAAATAATCCCTTTACTGAGCAAACACTACAACACCTTGAGGAATATGCTACTGAAGGTCTTCGTACACTTTGTATTGCAATGCGTGAGATTTCTGAAGAAGAATATCATAATTGGTCATCTGTTTATGAAAAAGCTTCAACAACATTAACAAATCGTCAAGAAGAATTAGACAAAGCAGCAGAAATGATTGAAAAAGAACTTTTTCTATTAGGTGCAACTGCCATTGAAGATAAATTACAAGATGGTGTTCCAGAAACAATTCACACTCTTCAACAAGCTGGAATAAAAATTTGGGTTCTTACAGGTGATAGACAAGAAACTGCTATAAATATTGGACTTAGTTGTAAATTAATACAAGAAGAAATGTCATTGATTATTGTAAACGAAGAATCTCATTTCGCGACAGAAGAATTTATTAAACAAAAAATTAAAGCACTTAAAAATCGTGCTAATCCTGAAGCCGAAGTAAATTTTATTTATTTATTTTTATTTTTTTTTTTTTATTTTTAATTATAGAATTACTTTATTAAATATTTTTATTTACATAATATTAACATGATATCAATACGATTTTAGCCTCTTGCTTTAATTATTGATGGACGTTCACTTGAATTTGCTCTTAAAAAAGACCTTGAGAAACAATTCCTCGATTTAGCAACAATGTGCAAAGCAGTTGTTTGTTGTCGAGTCTCACCACTACAGAAAGCACTTGTTGTAAAACTTGTGAAACGACATCTTAAAGCAATTCTCCTTGCTATTGGTGATGGAGCTAACGATGTGTCCATGATTCAAGCAGCACATGTAGGCGTTGGTATTAGTGGTTTGGAGGGAATGCAAGCAGCTCGTAGCGCAGATGTTGCCATTAGTCAATTTAGATATTTGAAAAAACTTCTTTTGGTTCATGGAGCATGGAGTTATTATAGATTAAGTAAATTGATTTTATATTCATTTTATAAGAATATAACATTATATATGACACAATTTTGGGTGAGTTATTTATTATAAATGATAAATGAATGTGAATAATATGAATAATATGAAAGAATTTTTAATGAAGAAAAATTAACGGAATTTTTTAATATCTATTTTGATTGAATAACAGTTTACATTTCATAATGGATTTTCTGGTCAAGTAATCTACGAATCTTGGACTATTACATATTATAATGTTCTTTTCACAGTATTACCACCAATGGTTATAGGAATATTTGATCAATATGTTAGTGCCAGGATGTTGGATCGTTATCCACAAATGTATATGTTAGGTCAAAAAAGTGAATTTGTAAGTTTTTTTCTTTTTTTCTTTTTTGCTTTACAAAGGATATTAATTTTTAATTTTGTGAAAAATTTTTTTTTTTAGTATTTTTATTAATTTTTAGTTTTATTAATTTCAAATGTTTATGAAAGATTTTAATTTTATTGATTTCAATATTTATGAAAGATATTAAATTTATTAATTTTATTATTTATGAAATATTTGCAGTTCAATGTTAGAAGTTTTTGGGGATGGACAATCAATGCATTCTTCCATTCTTTGGTAAGTTATTTTCAGTTATTTCCATTTTTACCTTTTTTTTTTTTTTTAATATAATTTTAAAGTTTATTCAGTTTATTCACAATTTATTCATAATTTATTCATACTTTTAATTAAAAAATATTCTTTACTTTAGGTTTTATATTGGGTGTCAATTTTCATTTTTGATCAAGATTTGGTTTTATCAGATGGACAATTGGCAGGGCATTGGTTTTGGGGAACAACATTATACACAGCAGTATTAGCTACTGTTTTGGGGAAGGCAGCATTAATAACAGAGTAAGTTTTTTCGTGTAATATTTTAAATTCATTTGAAATTTTATTGTTGATAAAATTTTTTTTTCCCTTATAGTTTATGGACAAAATATACATATTTGGCTATTCCCGGTTCATTTATATTCTGGGTGGTCTTTATTATGGCATATGGAACAGTCGCCCCAAAATTCCGTTTTTCGGAGGAATACGACGGTATCATTCCCAAATTATTTACAAGTCCAGTATTTTATCTTACAGTTTGTCTTATTCCAGTAATTTGTCTTTTCCGTGATTACATATGGAAATAGTAAGTTTTTCGATTTAAATATATCAAGAGATTTTTTTTTTTTTTTTTTGATTATTTTAAAAGTCTTATTTCATATATCTTATTTATAAATGTTTATTTTCGATTTATTTTATTTTCTGTACTTAGCTCTAAACGCATGTATAAAACACGATCCTATCACATTGTTCAAGAGATACAAAAATTCAATATCCCCGATTATCGTCCAAGAATGGAACAATTCCAAAAAGCTATTCGAAAAGTTCGTGCAGTGCAACGATTGCGACGAAGTCGTGGTTTTGCATTTTCGCAAAATGAATCGGGACAAGAAGCTCACCTTATCAGAGTTTACGATACAACTGTGGCAAAGCCCAAGGGTTAAAAACTAAAGATCATTATATTTTCTACAATTTATTTATTTTTTTTTTTTTAAAAAAAAAAAGATTGTGGTGTGTGGCAACTGTATAATACAGAATTTACGTTTAATTAATTCCCCTTAAAAAATTTTTTATTTTTTTCATTTTTTTTATTGTAAAGTAGTTTATTTATTAATATATATATATATATTTAATTTTAAATTATATAAAAAGTATATTTCCAAAACATTCTCAATTTGCACAATTCGCATAATTAGGTTAGGATGAAAGTTGGTTTGTTAAAATATACTGATTAAAGTTCGCATTTAATAATCTCTTAATCACATTTTAGCAAAGAATTTTTTAGTATAATAAATATTTTAAAAATTATTTTTATTATTATTTAATTAATTATTTAATTTCAATGAAAACCAATGAATGAGACTTTTTTTTTATTACATTAAGCCAATATCGTATATAAGATATATTAAAAAAAAAAAAAAAAGCATGTCATGTACAAAATTAGGCGATCTCATGGAATAATTTAGTGCTATACGAATACCAGGTAAACACTAACCTCCTAAAATTCTATGCCTATATACGTATTTTATATACTTATAAAAAGACACGCAATTAACATAAGATAAATAATTTGAAGCAAGGAATATTATTCTTCTCTCTAGGCAAATAAAAAGGATCTTTATTGATGTTCGAATGAAGGGCATACCAATCATCTGTTATAGTATCTACCTCGAATATTGTGTGTTTTGGATTATGAATTACAAAGTCACTTAAGATCAACATTGTTAAGATCACATTCACAAATAAACTTTTGGATTTAATTTATGTGACATGCCCAGGGAACAGATTTTTATCAATTATGATTATAGTAATTATTTCATAATTTTTATATCTAAAATTTTCAGAATGTTAATGTTTTATTGCGATAATTGAGATATTTAAATTTATGATCATCTTTCTTTATAAATGTAAAATTCTTTGAATTAATGTTAAAAATAAAATCAATCTAAATACATATGGTAAATTTGGACTGACCAAGATGAAAAGGATGAAATTGTATGATTGTGGAAATTTGCGTTCTCTAATTCCTTGATTTCTGGATAATATTAAAATATATCTTTTAAAGAAATAAAATGTCATTAATTACATGAATTAGAAATCTTCTATTGCATATAAGGAGTTATTGGAAATCGAGATGGTATGCCCAGATCTATTGTATATGCTATCTAAAGATTATCAATATTATTAATATAATAAATGTAAGTTGGAATTAAATTATCTGTTAGTACTCGTTCTTCTAAATGTTTCCCTTTTTAGTTTTGGTAACTTTCATGAATTATTATACTATTTGCCAATTCTCTAAACAACCTATAAGGAAATCACAAGAAAGACGATCGATTTTGTCGGGACTTCCCTTATAATTTCACAGATGTTAAATTGGAAAATTTAAATATGTTGTTTGAATATTTTATTTGCGATGTTTATTGTGTGCCACAAAATAAGTGACAGGCCGAGCAGATGATAAAGCTGTGCTTCCAGTCTGTAGGTATTTGCCCAGAGATGAAACAGAAAAATCGAAAGTACAGAAGAAGAGCACACTTGTACATCCAAGTTTTCTTAATAATTTTGTGTTGGTGAAATAAGGCAAAAGAATTCTATTGAGTTGTTGCTTCCTTGTATTCAAAATTCAAAAAGATAGAGAAATATTTTTGTAATTGTCTTTATCGGCGATAAAGGCAGATTTTTTTGATTTTTTTTTCCGAGAAATAGCAAACTATTGATCATATGTCCAGATTCTGAACATAAACAATAACTATTTTTTTTTTGTATGTATTTGTTGCTCTTGTGGTGGCATTCGGAAACATCGACAAATATCGATGGCACTTGGCGTTTAAAATTTGTATAATTCTTGTGGAGACATTGCACTATTTGATGGCAATTCTGCATATAGAATTAATTAATAATTATTTGAAAGAATATGAAATTAAATCAAATAATTATTATATTTGTTAGATTTATGGTATAAATTTTACTGAGGAATGAAAAAATTATTATCTTATTTATAGATTATTGTTTTATTTTTAATGGTTTTTGAATTTATATAAGAGATTTCTATTTTTTTAATGTTTGAATATTGTTTTCAAATCTATAATAATTAAAATAAATTAAAACTATTTCTATATTTTGATCAAAATTATTTTTTTGTTATTTCAGAAATAGATTTTGAAAATAACATCATCTTTTCTTTGATAACATCTAAAAAAAATCAATTAATTTTACTTTGCCGGTACCTCTTTTTTTTTTTTTTGTTTATTATCAAGTAATATCTCAATATGTTCAATATGAAATTTTTCACTGATTTGCAGCTGAATATAAGAGGATTTCTTCTCTTGCTCCATATTTGAGAATTTTCAACAAGGGGAATCTATCTAAACTTTTTTACCAATTGTTGGGTTTGAGTCATTTTTTGTCGAGTTAAAAAAAACGAGGTTGATAATTTTGAAATTTGATCCCTAATGTATATCCGAAATTCTTTGATTAATATATTGCGGAAAATTAATAATGTGTATAAAATTAGATTTGATAACCTTAAGAAAAATATCTGAAGGAAAATATTTAACATTCGGGTTCATTAAGTATCATATTCTTATAATATATCAACCAAGTAGAATTCTTGTTTTATTGCCAACCTTTAAGTATCAATTTGTAAAGATTTTGATCCTCTTTAATATGTTTGTATTTTTTAAATATTTTTTGCCTTCTGTTTTCTATTATCTAGTAATATGAACTATCTTATTACCTTCTTTTATCATCATGTTCAGGTGATCGTATTGGATCATTTTGTAGGGATATTATATCATAATTCCCTTGTGAAGAGGAACTTGCAGCTTTTTTTTTTGAAATAGTGCATTGAAGTTGTTCATATCTTCAGATTTATGTAAAATATGTTTTACTCAAATAAATAATTGTATAAGTTTAAAATATTAAAATTGAGGAAAAAAATAAGGGATATATTATTTGGCTATATTTTGGGTTAACGGGAAATTGAGGTTAAGGGTTAAAAATTATTCTATAATACTGGAGACTTGTTATATATTGTTAAATAATTTTTTTTTGGATTGTTTTCTTTTTTAGTGAATAGCATATAGTAATAAAAAGTTACTATTGGATGGTTGGGAAACTCTTTTAAATATTGCTTTAATGTTAATGCTTTAATTATTACTTGAACAATGATGATTTTTCAGATATGATTATAATAACACGGCACAACAATATTTATAATCTAATAAATGTGACAATACTTTATAAACAAAAGTATCTTCGTCTTAAAAAACTGATGATAATATTCAATAGTTTGTTTTTTTTTATTAGTTTGCGAAAGTTTTGATGTCAAGACAGGATAATAATATGCTATTAATCTTGCAAGACGATAATAATATGCTATTAATCTTGCAAGACGATAATAATAATAATATACTAAATAATATCACAATGATATTATAGAAGTATAAATCAATGAAATCAATGGAATATCTAAACGTTCTTGAATTTTATTGTGGTGTTAAACCTCAAATGTAAGGCATAATGATTATTTAGTTACTTGACAAAAATTCAAAAATTTGAGATAGGTTTTTTCTAATAAATTATATTAAATTTACTATTGATTCTATCCCGATCGCTATTCACGATATTAGAACATAGATTAAGTGCTTTTTTTGATAGCACGGAATGAAGATTTATATGGGGCCAAATTTTTTTTTTATTAAATCTTCTTTTAAGCTTTTGAGAAATGACCTGGTCCTTAAATATTCTCGTCCTTCGGATTCAATTCGTTTTCAATATTCTGGTTGCAGTAGTTGTTAAAGATAAATATTATATTCCACCGATCATATATTTGTCCAATAAAAAAAAAGACGATTTCATTACATTTTCATCTAACTTTTTTGTTTAATTCGATGTTTTTCTAAATTTGTTGAATGCCAACATTCAACATTTGACTATCAACAAAAAACGGTAAATTTGGTAAAAATTTTGTTGATATGTAAATAAATCAAAAAATTAAATTTATATTGATAAGATTGAAATTCATTAAATTATAAAAAGAGTGTGCAGCATGCTAACTACATTTTTCAGATAGTATTTTGTCCATAAAACCTTAGCTAATTGTGAAATAATGCTTTGAATAAATGGACAAATATAGGGATATATTAAAAGGAGAGGAGATGTTGAGTTTGACTGTGAAAATTTAAGAAAATATAGGGGAAACTTGTGAAAGAAAAAATTTATTATCATTATCATATCGAAGAAATATTTTCCCAAATAATTTATATAAAATTAGAACTAACGTCCAAAATAATTTCTTTTCATAAAAGTGTTCTTTTAATTAATGTCATTTGGTTGTTCTTCAAAAACTATTCTTTATAAATTTGACTAAACTAAAGAATAAATTTATATATAATAATCTATAATCAAAAACTGAAATTTGGTTTCATAAAACAACATAAAAGAATAATAGAATCAATCCATTAGAATATGTCCTTTTCGAGATTCGATATTACGTACACTTATTGGAGAACTTTGGGTGTAAGGAAAAACGAATATACAATGAGATTTTAATTTTGTATTCCAATTCCATTCATTAAGTCAAATTGGGAAGTCGATGATTATTGTACTATAAATTATCTTTTGGGACTTTTAAATTCACAAATCCTGTCTTTGCATCCTTTTGTTGAGGGATAAATTAATTTTAAAACTAATTCTTAATTAAAGTTCATTAAATTATTTCTATTTGGTTCAATATACTACTACTAATATAAGAATCGAATACCGGTATTTGCTCTAATTTAATCATTTCTTCATCAAAGAATGTTTAATGAATAAATAAATTATTTTGAATTTTGTATCAAAGGTATTGTACTTGGATACAATTTAACGCGCAAAGGTTTATAAAATGGAAGTTGAAAACGTGTGATTTCGTGATAAAGGTGAGTAAAGAAAAATTATTATATAGTCAGGGGAAATTAATGAGCGATAATTTTTTAGAATTAAAATAAATCAAAATAAAAAGGTAACGCATGTCTCGAAACTCTTTAAAAAAAATTATCAAAAAACGAAGAAAAATATATGAAAAAAAAAAATATGAAAAAGGATTTGAATTTGTAAAATAATTTTTATTATTTTTATTTTTTATTTTTATTTTTTTTTATCTTGCGAGAGTTAAATCTAGAAAAAAGATCAGAAGTCGCTTATATAGCAGATTTGACGGTGTTTACAAAATAATCAAAGTTAAAATTTATTTAAAACATCAAAAATTGAAAACTCGACTCGTGTTTAGTTGTAAATTTGGAATCAAGATGAGCCCCCCCTAAAAATAATAAAAATAAAAAAACCCCGATTCCTCCTCCTCAACGCGTGCGGATATTCTCAACGCGATCAGATTTGTGATAAGTAATTAGGTGATAATGTAATAATGTGATAAAAATATGCTATGTAACACACTTCGTTTGATGATAAAGATTTTTTTTATTCGAAAAATGTTTAATGTTGTTATTAAATTTTTGATTTTTTTTTTTTTTTAAAAGTATGTAATGAAAAAACAAATTAAGTACATGTAAAAAGATCTAAAAACAAAAAAAAGAAAAATATTTACAACGAAAATATAAAATGAATCAAAAATTCTAAAAGCGCACATTATCTAATTAATTTAATTAATTCTAACAAAAAAAAAAAAAAAAAAAATAAATAAATCAATAAATAAACAAATCCTAATTATTCTAATCATTTATTTATAATTATTTATTCAATATCTAAATACAAAAGAATTTCAATTTTTGTTGTTTCTTGGCCATAGTCTTTTCACGTAATATTTCTAACTGAATTTGAACTTCTCTTAAAGTCCTTTCAACATTAAGTTTTGCATTCTTTTCATCATCTAAAGATTGTTCGATTTTTTGTTTTTCTTCTTCCATTTCCACTATTATCTTGTATAATTCTTGAATTTCCGATATTTCTAAATTATTTTCATAAGTCTCTTCTAATCTACGTTCTAATGAAGCTATTTTATCTTGATATTCTTTAATTAATTTATCTTTTTGGAATTCAGTCGATGAAAATACTACCACTTTCTTCTTTGAAAGTCTTCGAGGTCTATCATTATTTTCATTGTCATTATTGTTTGATTTAGGTGGTTGAGGTCGTTGTTTAATACCAACAAGTTCATTTTCAAGTGACGTCAATTTATTATTTAATTCTGCGATATAATGAGCTGTACGATTTCCGTCTTCACCAGCAACTTTAAGTTGATCTAATACAAATCCAATCTTTTTGTCAACTTGTTCCTTATCGTCATACAATATTTCATTGGTTTTTTCTAATTCTTCGTTTTCTTTTTCAAGTTCATCAATTCGATCTCTTAATTCATTTATAGATTCATCTGATTCTTCTTCTTGAGATTTCAATTGATCAATTTCTTCTTCCAAATTTCTTAGATTGGATTGTAATGATGATGCGCAAAATCCTACTTCACTAATTTTGGAAGTTAAATTTTCTTGATAAATTTGTAAATCTGATGTAACAGCCGATAATCTAGCTAAAGTTGGATTCATTATAACGGAATTTCGTTTATTTGAAGCTCCTGATGACAATGATGAAAAAGTATTTTTTCGGGAAAGTAAAACTTTTCGTTTATTCGTTTCTTGCAGAATATATTCCAATTCTCGAATACGATCCTTTTGACTTTGTGAAACCAGTTCAACTTCCACTAATTTATTACTCAAATTTATGAATTTCGTATTCAATATATCATAATCATTTTGTAAAGTATTGACTTGTTTTTCAAGTTCCAATTTGATTTTATATTGTTCTTCTTTTTCTCGTTCAACTAAAATAATTGCATTTTCTAAAACTTCAACACGTTGTAAGAATTGAATTTTAAGATCTTTTGACATGACTTGATCAAGACTTTCGAAATTTTGTCCAACATTATCAAGTAAATTTTGTAACGTATTACATTGTCCTTTAAGTGCCTCAATCTTAGCATAAGCTTCTTCAAGTTTTGATATGTCTTCTGGTTGTTGTCGTTGACATTGTTCTTTTAGAAGTTCAATTTGATTAGTCTTTTCTAATAATTTGGTTTCTCGTTCTTTTAATGTATTTTCTAATTCTTTCACAAATATTGTTTGAGCACTTTCTTCTGCTTTGGTTTTTTCAAGTAAAGAACTATTGGTTATTAATAATTGTTCTTTTTCTTCTATAGCAGCTTTAAGTTCTTTAATCAAAGACTCTGATTTATTTAATCGTTCCACGCATTCATCTCTCTCATTTTCGAGATTCATGACTTGTTGTTCAAATTCACTTAAAAGTTCATTTTGAGCTTCAATCTCGTGAGTAGCATTTTCTAATTGTTCATGATACATTACACTATCATTACAATTGATTTCTTTTAATTCATTAAGTTCTTGTTCTAACACTTCAATTCTTCCTTCGTCTTCTTCACGTTGTTGAATAATAGTATTTAAATAATTTGTCAAATCTTCATTTTCTTCTAATGTCGAAAAATGATTAGCTTTGGTTAATTTCAATTCATCCACCAAAGTTTGTAACCCTCCTTCTAAAGTGTTTACAAGTTTTGTTTGATCGCTAAGACTTTCTTGCATAATTGTCCATTCTCGAACTATCATTTCCTTAGCTTCTTTAGCATCAGCGAATTGATATTGAAGTTGTTCGATCATGGCTTTTTGATCAATATCATTTTTCTTATATGCGCTTAATTCTTCCTTAATGGCTTGTAATTGCTTAGATTTTGCTTCGGCTATTTCAAGTTCAAGTTCTAATTCTTGAATCTTTTCTTTTGATCTATTTTCAATGGTTCGTAATTGTGCTACTTCCTTTTTTAATGCCGAAATATCGGGTTCTTCTCCCTGAATTGAAAGTTCTAATTGAGTTTCAAGTGTTTGAATCTTCAGCTCTTGTTCAGATTTATAAGTTCGTAAACGTTTAATTTCTTCTTTAAATTGTGTAATAACAGAAGATTCTTTTACTTTGAAATTATCATATTCTTTTTTCACTCTCTCTAATTCTTCTTCTAATAACCTGTTAGATTCTTTGGCATCATTGTCATTCTCATCGGCTTCTGATAATTGGATTAAAAGTTGTTCAATTTGATTTTGTAATTCTTCATTTTGTCCTTTAATAGAATTTAATTGTTCAGAGAGAATTTCGGATTCATCTTTTTCAGATTCATCTCTTTCAGATTCGGAATTTTCTTCAATAGAATCATTATCATTGAAAGAATCATCGTTATGTTCAGAATTATTTTCATTATCTTTTTCAATTTTTGAAGGAGAAATCTCACTAATCTTCAATTCAGGATGAATTTGACCGCCTTGAAGTTCTTTAAGTTGATTTTGAAGACCAGTAATTAATTCAAGACTTGATTGATATTTTGATCTCGAATCAGCAAGATTTGATAAATTTCTATCATATAAATCTTGTAATCTTGCTAATTTTTGTTCTAATGATGTGACAGCAGATTCTTTTTCATCGGAATTATTATTATTATTATTATTATCGGAATTTTGTTGATCAAGTTTATATTGAAGATCTTGCATTTGCTCGAGACATTCATTATATTTTTTCTTTATCAAAGTTAATTCATTAACAGTTTCTTGATGAATCGATTCAAATTCCAAAAGTTTGGATTCTAAATTATTTAGATCATTACCACCACTGAAAATTGGGTCAGGTGTAAATACAAGTCGTGAGAAAGAAGGAGAAGGTGGTATTTCTAATCGACCCATTTTATTTACTTCATTTACTAATAAATTTAATTTAGCTTCTAATTGTGATATTCTCGCATTTCTATCATCCAATTTATCCATGAGTATTTTATTTTCTCCACAATCGATTAATTCAAATTTCGATTGTAATGCATCATAAGCATCTTGTTTTTCTTTTAGAGCATTCTCCAACGAATCCATTTTTTCATTATTGCTTTCATTATTTTCAGCTTGTTTCAATTTTTCATCTAATTCTTTACAAGTTCGTTCACTCTCTCGTAATCGTTGTTCCAATAATGACACTGTTTCACTAATGAATTTTTCCGGATGTTCATCTCGAGGGTCACGTAATTTATTTTCGGATTCATATTTCTCTAATTTTGTTTCAAGTTCTCGAATATATTTCTGTAAACTAGCAGAAGTATTTAAATTATGTTCAATGGTAATATTGGCTTCATCTAGAACAATTTCTCGTTCTTTGAGTAATAGATCAGTATGAGCAAGTTCAGCTTGAGTAGTTACCAATTTATCTATCAATACACTTTTACTCAAGTCTTCTACATTACTAACACCACTTAATTCAAAATCCCTGAAATCTCTTATAATTGGGGAAGTAAAATTTCTTTCACAATCATCAATTTCGGAAAAAGAAGTAATGGTTGTATTAGGAGAAATTGGAGCCGAATCAATATTTTCATGATTATCTTGATATAAAGCAAGTTCGGCAGAAGTCATTCCATATTTGATAGAAAGTTCAGCATAGGATTGACGCAATTGTAAATATTGTTGTTCAATTTCTTCGAAGTCACAATTTTCATCCGCGTCACGATGATGTTGTTGTTGTTGTTGTTGATTATTAATTGATGCCGAAGATTTTGAGAAAGTGACCAAAGGAGAAATAGGACGTCGAGATTTTGTAGGAGTATTTCGACCAGAAGGATTCTTAACTACAGGAGGAATTTTTCCACTCGATCCACGAGTTGGAGTAATTCTACCGCTACCACCGCTATTATTATTATAAATTTTATCATTGATCATTAAACTTTCTCCTGCAGTAATGAGGGCAGTTTTTAAAGCTTTATTCTCAGCTTTCAATTTAATAACTATTGATTGTAAATTTTTTATATCCCACCATTCTATATCATCTTTATTACTATTTAAAGATAAATGTTTTGTGTCAGTAGATTTTTTACGAATGTGGTTTCCAAATGTAGGTAAAGAACTACTACGAGCATGACCAGCAACCTTACTGTTACTATTATTAAGATTATTATGATTATTAAGATTATTAAGATTATTAAGATTAAGAGTATTAAGATTATTAGTTAAATAATCTTTACGATTATGGTGATTATTAAAATTCATTGTTTTAACATTTTTAATAGGAGTATTTTTTATGTTTCTAGTAAGAGAAGCATGTTTTAAAGTAGTAATAGTAGAAGAATGATCACATTCATCAGGTGAAACACAAGCAATCATTAAAGTATAAGTATTACCACCCAAAGTATCTTGAAGAAGACGAGTTAAATTTGAGTCATGATAAGGAATATTAGAAGAAATATCACGGATATTATTATTTTTCATATTTTCCTTATCTTTATGTGAGGAAGAGGTATGAATTGGAATGTCGTGATTAAGTTTATTATGATGAAAATGAGAGAGAGGAGAAGGAGGAATTATGGAAAGTTTTGAGGATGGTTTTGAATTACCTAACATTGAGATTACTTTATGTAAAGCGGGACTTGATTTATTTATAAACTTTATAAAAATAAATAAATATAATATAAAATGATATAAATTAATAAATTAGTGACAACATAATTATTGATAAACTATTATATTATATCATTGATATTACGTAATCGATAAATAAGCTGTTGAGATATTTACCTTTTCATTACCTCCTAAATCAATAAACCATAATTTACTTGTAATAGTAGTTAATTCATCATTATTATTTCCATTACCACTTCCACTTTCCTCAAATCTAATACCTAAACTTGAACCAGCTCTTGATGCAGGTCTACTGCCATTTCCTAATCGACTAGAAGGTCTAGATGATGTTCCCATCCTACTAGAAGGACGTGAACCAGGTGGATGAGAAATTGTTGAATTTCTTCTAGACAATGGAATATTAATTGGAAAAGAAGAAGTAGTGGGAGTGGGAGTGGTTGGAGTGTTAGGGGAAGTGATTACAAATTGTTGTTGAGTCATCGTAATAGAGAAAATTGTATGTGAAGTGGAATTACTAATGCTTGATAAACCTCGTTTTAGATGTCTATAAATAAATTTTAGAGAATTTGTAGAGAATTTAGTGAATTTGATATAAAAAAAAATACAAAAATAGAATACAAAATAATACTTACTCCATAACTTCTTCTATACTGTCAACAGTAAATTCTCGTAATCCACTTAAACTATTTTTTCCTTTCATATCATCACGTATAAATACTACAGGTTTACAATGTAATAATTCATCGTTATAATGTTGATGATTAGAAGATTGTGAGGAATTATTGTCAATTAATAAATCTATTAAATCTTCTTTAAAAATTTCCAAAAATGATACAGTAAATGTGACTTTAGTAGATTTATATTTTTCTAAAGTATTTATTAAAGTGAATAATGTATTCATAGATCGAGGTATTATTCCATCATCATCTTCTTGTTCTCTTTGTTGTTGTTGTTGTTGTTGTTGTTGTTGTTGTTGCAGTTGTTGTTGTTGTTGCAGTTGTTGTTCCCCTTGTTGTTCTTTTTGTTGTTCTCTTTCTCTTTGTTCCAGCATTGGTATTGATGTACCCAATGTATAAGATTTTCCTGAACCAGTTTGTCCATATGTTAAAATGGATACATTATAACCTAATTTGAAAATAAATTAAAAATTAAAACAAAATATAAATATAAACTCGATAATAGGATTTTAATTAATTAATTTATTTACCATTCAAGAATTTTTCCATTAATCCTTCTACTCCAGCATTTTCATAAACTTGTTGCTGCGTACTGCTCTCTCCTAACACGTGATCAAACGTGTGTATTCGTTTTTGTTCTTTCTTTTTAGTATTTGTGTCGTTGTTATTGTTATCAATGAGAATTACTTGATTTGGTATTTCTTTTGATGGAAATATTAATGGTCCTCGTTGTTGTTCTTCTTCCTTTGTTATTTTTGGTGTTGTCGTAGTTGTTATTTGTGTGATTAATTTATTAGGGGATTCTGAAGTTGTTATAGAATCTGAAGAAAATAGGGGAGATTCGGAAGTGATTGTTGTTGGTGACTGAGTCATTGTTGGTGTTGTAGGTGTTATCGGAATTTCAAGTATTTCATCATTAGATGACGATGTGGAAATAGATTCTTGTTTAATTATTGATGATGTTGAAGATGTTTTTTTATGTGATTTTTTGATATTTCTAGGTCTTATTCGAAGTACTTTAAAAATTAAAAGAATGAAATCGTAAAAATAAATTAAAATATTATTAAAAAAATGAATTAAAAATATAAAGCATATATCTTTTATATTCTTACCAACTTGTACTGTATTCATCGTATTCGATACAACTTCTTTAGCAATTTTCGTAATAGTAGAATCCTTTGAATTTTTTCCATTCTTTATCAATCCATTCTTCTTCTTCATCATTGATGTTGATGTTAACTCTTTTTTGTTTACTCCTTCAGTTATCATTTTTTATTTTTTGATTTCCTTAAAAAAAAAAAAAAAAAAGAAAAAAAATTTTTTTCGTTGGTTGTTCGACGACAAAAGATTTTTCTAGCTGATATAAAGTAAAGTAAATAAATCCTTTTACAATATATATAATGTTTGGTAGAAGGAATTAAAAATATATAAAATAAAATGAATATAAAAAATAAAATAAAATGTGTAAATTGAGAGGAAACACTTTTTCGAGTGGTAAATGTATAACGATTTTTAAAAACTCAGGTTTTTATATTTTTTAAAAATCCGTGATTAAATGTATTAAATATATTAAATAATTAAATATAATAAATTATGTGGTTAAATGTTAAAATATGTTGTGTGTTAAATGTGTTGTGTAGTCGTATGGTGCGTACTTATAGACTGAATTTATTATTAATATTTATTATAATTTGAATTTGAATTTTTTCAACTGGTTCGTTTTTTAATTTTGTTATTTTGTTCAACGATTCAACTTTATATTTATTTAATTTTATATTTGTACTTTAAAAATAATATAATTAATTTAATTTATTATAATATGTCATCTACATAATATACTGTTTACTTGAGTTATTAATACAAATTAATCACTCAATATATTATTATTTTTTTAATATACATCACCCAATTTATCAAATCACTCAATTTTTTTTTTTCTTTGATTTTTATTATTAAAAGCAAATTGAAAATTTGAACACAGCATAACTTTCATACAGTATATATTTTGTATCTTACAGGGATAACAATACGGATTTAGGAAGAAAAAGTAAAAATAGTACACAAAGGATGATAAATAAATAAACTATAGTATAAATAGCAAAACCGTAAATAGATTAAATTTTGTGTGTAAAATTTCCTAATTTTTCATTCATTTTGTTCCAATTTAAAAGATATTTTTTATTATTGATTTATTTGATAGTTTCAAAAATATGAGATAAAAAGGTAAGGGTATGTGACACATAACTCAATCGTATTCGTATTCAGTTATTGATTGTTTTGATGATGGTGGTGATGAAAAAGATACGTACGTTAAAATTTGTTTAATATTTATCAACATCAACACGTTGTCATCTGGTCGATTTTTCTATTTTTATATAATTTTTGTTATCCAATTTGTTTATTTTTGTTAAGCATTTTAAGGAATTTTGTTAAAAATTTATTTACGTATTTTTTGTTTTACATTCGTATTTTATTACGTATTTTGTATATTCCGTTTTTTCTAAATTAACGGTAATAGCTACTAGATTAGTTAACTTAATTAAAATTGTTATTAATGAAAAGAAAAAAAAAAAAAAATTTCGGGAACACCAAAGAACAAATCAATCAGATTCTTTGTGTCGGATATCTGCAAATAAATCTGCAAAATTTACCTTGATATTAGTATGAACATTTATTTGTGTTGTATTAAACATTCTAACTTGTAATTTTGTCATACATATTTTTGTGTTTTGTGTGATAAATATTTCGTGTTAAAAACATTTAAAAGAAATTTTAAGAAATTATTTTTTGAAACTTTTAGGAATAATAGGAATAATAATATTAAATATAGTAAAGTATTGTAAATTATAATAAAGTATAATAAAGTATAATGAAGTATAGGGGGTTAACACATTATTTCGTCACAATAAATATACAAAAGTATGCAATAAACAAATATAGTAATTTTTAAAACTTTATTGTTTTAAATTTTGTTAATAATTAATTGTTATTTATTTCCTATTATTTTTATTAATTCAATGCTATATATGTGTGTTATGTAGGAGAGTCAGATGAATGATTGAATGATAAATGACCTCGGAAAAAATCTAAATCTTCATTACATTTACATTTATATTAAACTTTATAACCTGTTATATTTTCATCCTCATATTTATAAAACAAAAATTGATTTTTTACGCCATTAAGATGATGAATTTTATTTCTGACTGTCTATTTGTTTGTGGTTAAGTTAATTGTGGGGGAGTAAAATTTTAAATTGTATTAAAAGTTATGAAATGTGTGACATTCATATTCATATATATAAAAATAAATAACAAATGAATAACTTGAATAACTAGAATATAACTCGTAACATAACTTGTAACATAACTTGTATTGTTCATTTTATTGTTTATACCGTACCATTTTTTACTGTTTTGAAATAGGTGAAATAATTGAGATAATTGAGATAAGTGAAATAATTGATAATTGAGAGTTAGATGAAATAATTGAGATAATTGGTATAAATTATCTCAATTATTTTCACTATTTCAACAAATCAAATATTCGTCTTCTCGTTGGTTAACTATTAATATATAAAAAATATTAAACCTTATCAGTTATATAGACATATGCCAGAAAATTTTCATAATATTCTCATTATTAATATTATTATTTGTTATTGTCATCATCATCGTTACCATTTTAATCGTTATTATTATTCTCATCATTATTATTCTCGTTTATCATTGTTGTTTTAATTGTCTTGATATTCTCGTTTGTTGAGAGATTCTCGCCACGTAAATGCAGTATGTCATTTGTTGTTTGTTTACATGTCCAAACTGATCAAACTGATATAAAAAAAAAATGTCAAAAAATAAACTCACGTGGTATTAAAAAAAATTTTATTTCCCCACCTTTTAATATTAACTGCCAACTAGCTTTTGCATGTATTGTTTACCATATTTAGTAAATTCTAAGAATTTCTTTAAATTTTATATCTCTTTAAAATAATAATAATGGGTTGGAAAATAATGCATTATATTATTTTCAACCCATTATTATTATTATATTATTTCTCTCTTTCTCATATTAAAATTAAAAAAAATTAAGTTTTTTTTTTGCTTTTAAGTACCGTTTTATGAATCGTTTTAAAGTTAAGTGATTTCATGTTGCAGAAGTTACTTAACCCCTAAATATTTTAATTATTATATTACATTCTTCTCTTTTTCTCCCCATTGTTTGTCATTCCATTATACGCCATTATAAAATTTTTATTATCATTTATGTATCTGTTCTACGGTTTTACTTATTTTCTCTTATTTTCCTTCTTAGGTAAAAATGTCAAAAAAATGTAATGTATGCCATTTATGTGAAAGATAATAAATAAATGAACTCATATGATACATATTTGTTGTTGTTATATAAGTAAAACAAGTAAAAAAAGGTAAGTGTTGTTGTCGTCATAATAACTCGAGCATAATGAATTGTTTTCAAAAAGAAAAATGAAAATATTTGTATTGTTGTAATTGTTTATATTCTGTATCATCAAATTAATTATTAATATATTAACGAATAATATCTAACGATGAGTACAGTTTATTAATAACGTTTAGACGATTAACATTTAAAAATTTATTTATGCTGCTGATATAATAAATATACGTAATCATCATTGAATCATTAAATCTGATATTACAAAATAAAAAATTTACTTTTCTCTCAAATTTTTCATTCCTCATCCTCCATCCTTTTGCGTATAAGTTACACTACATTAGAAACAGAACAATACTATCGTGTACTTTTGGTTTTTTTTAGTATTTTTAGTGGAAATTCGATTTTAAAAAAAGGAAAGAACTGAATGAAAAAAAAAGGAGTACCAGATTTTTTATCCATGTGGCTTCTATTTTTAAAAGAGTAAGTAAGTTAAAAGAAGTTAAAAAATGAATAGATCAAATAAATCAGAAAGAATTGATGATGCATATACAATATATATTCACAATATATAGATTGTGTGTGTGGATGCGCATGTAGAGAGAGTGAAAAATAATAGATAGAGAAAGAGATAAAATAGATATAATTGATAGAAAAATATATTTTAATCTTGTAAATGTCATAGATTAACACCCGTACACGCACGAGACTTTCTTTTGAAACCTTCTTTTTGAAACTTTCATTTGAAATGGAAACTGTAACAGGTAAATCAATAACAGTAGTAGTAATAATTATACTTTATATCGAGACTAAAACAAAAAATTAAGTTCGTTGCATTCATCATTCAACTGCAGTGCAGGTGATGTATTGTGTATTGTGTATAGTAGTATAAAGTAGCATAAAGTAGTAAAAAATGATAAAATAGTTAGGTTTTACCATAAATATATTATATTAATATAAATAAATATATATGCATTCAAAAAAAAACTCCATAGAAACTAATTTAAATATTGTTTTTAAAAAAAATAAAGTTTTGAATTAATTTTAATAATAATAAATGCAGTGTCAGTGTGAAAAATTTCAATCTTCTCTCAAATCAAAAATAAAAACTAGAAAAAAAAAATCCAAGATTTAAACTAGTTTTAATTGTCATGTTTGTCATGTGGAAATTACTAAAGAATTGTTGAAAACTTGTGAAAGAAAAAAAAAATGTAAAAATGTGAAGTAAACTTATATGTAAATTTATTTATGAAGTGGAGGATGTTTTATTATTAGATTTTTTTTCATGCAATAAATGCATAGAATAAAAATAACTAAATTTCGTACATCAAATAATATTATTTATTTTAATTCAGCTAAGTTATGTGAGCGATAGTCATGGTTATCTTTATCTTTCCTACCAAGTATCATGGTTGCCATGGTTTTCTGTTATCATTCTGTTATCATTGGTTATCATGATTGTCTCATGATTAACTGGACTGGAATAAAAGAAAAAAAACCTGTTAAGAAATCAAGAAATTATCATCAAGGGAAAGTGAAAAAGTAGATTATTTTTAGAAAGTTTTGTGTTTTAAAATAAATAAATAAATTGATAGATATACAATTTGCTTGTAAAAATGAAATGATGGAATGGTTTATTATTTTACTTTTATTATTTTTACATCTATTTTTCCCCCTTTTTTCTTTTTCTGATCTGATTGATGGAAAATCAAGTAATTTTTTTTTTTTGCAGCAAAACAGAATTTTCTAAAAAACGGAGAAGCGTAAAGGAAAAAGAAGAAAATATTCAAACTTTTCTAAAAAAGAAATGATCATTTGTACTGATACTATAAAATAAAGTTCAATAATATAAATAAAGATTTCCCAAGATCTTAATAATCATCAGCCTTTCGATTAAACATTCGTTCGTTCGTTCGGACCTTTACTTCCCATATATATTACCACATTCACACATGTTAAAAGCTTACATATTTATACATATTTAAGACTATCCCCATTGTTTATCTATACATAATTGTTAGTCATTTATTATATAGCCATTCGTTATGGGGTTATTGAGTTATTAATATTGGTTATCCCCAATAGTTATCTCCACGGTTTCCAAAGTTGTCTGTTAATCTAGATGATCAAATCATTTTTCATTTTTTTTTTTATTTTTCATTTTTTTTTTTATTTTTCATTTTTTATTTTTTTTCATTTTATTTTTAATTTATTTCTATTATTACTTTTCTTTTTTATAAAATCCTATAATTATGCAATGGAGAGAGAGAGAGAGAGAGAGGGATGCATTTGGGGATACACAAAAATGAAAGAATATTACAAAATAATATAATGGATCTTATGCATATCTATTTCTTAAAAGTTCTTATTGTATGTTCTTTTTAAGTAAGAACACTTTTGTATGTTTTAGGATTGACAACTAACAACAAAATGCATCATCAAATGCATCAATAGTAGTGTAGTGTACAAGTCAACAATTCAGTAAACCTTTTTTTCATGTTAATATATTAATATGGCCATATGTTATGTTTTAATAAAATATTATGATATTATATGTATCATGAATGAATGAATGTTACAAATAATTACTAAACCAAATATTCTCATAGCCTCTCCTTGCATTTTACACTTTTTTGGATTTCTTTCTCCATACCAAAATTAATATGGTGGTTTACATTTTTCATTTATTCATTTTACTTGAGTTTTTTTTATTGAGTTCAAATTACGATTGAGTTACGTTTATAATTAAATTAAATTATAATAAAAAATAAATAAACACAAGTAATTAATAATAAATGAATGGATAAATGAAAAATGAATGAATAAATGAAAATGAATTCATTCATTCATTGGGAATTTAATATATATTAAATAAAAAATAAAGAGATGTGACAACAAAGAGTATTAATAATTTTTTTTTTTTTTTGGTTAATTCCGAATATCGAACACTTTTTCGTAAAATAGATATAGATGGATAGAGAGATATAATAGATAAATAAAGAAATGGGGATGAATTGAACACGAGCACGAATTAGGGATACTAATTTTTAGTAAGAAATAATGTACTGTACGTATAAGCAAATTATATCATAACGGCATGAATGTTATTTTTATTATTTTTATATTTTATGGTATGTGTGGTGGTGGTAAAAGGTGAGCGACAGGGTTTTTGGAGAGTTAGAGAAATTTGTCACATAACACCACATCGACTACATTACATTTATTTAAGTTGTATATTTGTTGTTGTTATATTTAAGCTATATATCCTTTTTCTATATGTATCACTTTCCTATTATTACTC